CCCGGGAACAGCCGATGGCCTTCCTTCACTCCCTCGGTGAAGTTAGAAGATGCCTGCTTCCCAGCCGCGAAAAGCTCGTTAGAAAGCCCTTTGGCTTTCTCCTCCAAACTCGCATTATGGGATACCAAAGAGTCCTTCTCCGCTTGAAGGATCTTCTCTCTCTCTTGTAGCCTCCTCACCTCGGCAAACAGTCCCTCTTTTGCCGACTCAGACACCGCCAGGCTCTCTTTCAGACCTCGGACCTCTTTTCGGAGCTGGCCGACCTCCTTCTTCTGATTATCGTATGCCTCCCGAGAGACATCATCCCACCCCAAAGGGCCCGAGAAGGCGATCGCAAATTGCTAACGCATACATGGAGTTTAAGTAAAATCAGCTATGATTAAGAAACGTAAAAACTAACTCGCGTATGCAAAATAAAACGAACCTGCGTTATGTTATGAAGGAGCAATTCAAGCCGATCACCCTTGCTCATTTGCCCGAAATGAGCAACGTCTCGGGGAAGCGCCATAGCTCGGCAAGCAGCGATGGCGTTCTCTGCATTCTGGCAGAGGTGAAGTGCAAAGTTTGGAGGCAGAGATGACCCAACTTGCCCCGAAGCTGACCCGGTCTGCCCGGGAGTCGACCCAACTAACCCAAGGGCTAGATCAGTCCTTCTCTTTTTTGTGGCGGGCTCTTTCTCCACCTGTTCTTCGACCGAGGGAGGTGTCGAGGAAGGGACCGTAACTATGGCCGAAGATCGGCGAGGGGGCTCGGGATCCTCAACTCGTGGGCTATCTCGGGGACGCGCGGCCACAGCACTCTTCTTAGAAGGCCTTTGCCTTAGTGCTCCCTCTTCGGGGGACTTTTTCTCGGATTCAGCAACCACGGGGCGCTGGAACTCAGACGCCTGAAATTCCGGCTCCGATTCGGACGGGCGAGTCGCCAGTTTCTCACCTCGGAACATTCTCTTCATCCTTAAATCTGTTAATGGGATCAAGGAAAGTGTGGTCAGGAAATATGCAATACTTCGGCAAGCATAAAATACAGCCAAATAAAAAGCCACAACCCAAAACGAGTGACGAACTATAGCAGAAAACTAGTATCATGCTTAAACCCACCTAAATCCTCTTGGGTTAAGGGATGAGTGCCGTTGTCATGGAAGCAGAAGTGGCGAAGTATCGGTGGAAAACTGGTAAGAGTCTCAGGCATACCATAACTTGGTTGAAAGTGAACAATCATTTTCAAAAGCCATTCGTCTATCGCTAGAGGTTTCCCCCTCCGCTTGTCGGGTAAAGTGGCGAACCAAGGACACAGGTAAGGAGTATCAGCGGGGTTTTTCGCGAAGAAGTAATGACCCTGCCACCCATCAGTTTTATTGGGTGGCATTAATATTTTGAAACCCGGGCGAGCCGAGATAGAAATATGAAAAGGACTGGAATTTTTCAAAACCATCACACTCCGAAATCGAGCTGGAGTAGGGACCACACCCGACCAGGCGCAAAGCATGCGAAACCCGGTCATGACGACTATGGCATGAGGATGAAATTGATTGAGGGACACATTGCACAACTGCGCAATCTCAGAAAACCAAGGTGAGATGGGGAAAGTAAGACCGAAATAAAACTGTTCCGAGAACCAGGTGCTGAAACCCGGGGGTGGGTTTAAGGGACGCTGATCTCGCGAAGGCAACAATAGTTCTACGTCAGTAGGTAGGCCTATATCGCGAACTAAATTGTCTAAGTCCACCTCGCTTAAAGTGCTGGGCCCCCACTGGTCGTCTAAATCGCGTCCCTCAGACAGTGAAGGAGAGCCGCTCCTTGCGGAAGACAAAACGTCATCTCTTCTTTTTCTCTTCGGTTTTTTCAGTAATTTACCCGAAGGGGAAAAATAGGGCCCTTCTTCCGACGAAGAAGAAAGAGTAAGGGTAGGGTGTTCATCTCCCTCTCTGGAGGGCATTCTTTGACCAAAAGGGTCGGGGGAATTGGAAGACATAGGCTAAGAATAGTAAAAAGTAAGGTGAAGAGGGGAGTACCTTTGTCGGAGGAAACAAGCACGGGAGGGAAAGAACTTGGTTCTCAGAAAAGCAAAGTCGCCGGAGGTAGACAAAGATAGGGAGAGCGCAGAGGTGAAGAAGGGGAAAAAATCTGAAAATTCATAGAGGTCAGATATTTATAGGAGAAGGAAAAATGGAAAACTTTGATCGTAACCGTCTATTCGAACGGGTGAGATTCAAAGTAGGTCGCCTCGAATTCGGCGCAAGAAGTGTCGGTTGGACTCCCCTAGTAATGACCTAGGAAAGAGAAAAAACCAATCATAACCGCCCACCCGAACGGACAGGATTTAATGCAGATTACCTCGAACCTAGCGCGAAAAGTGTTGATGGAAATCTTTTCATGATGACCTAGGGAACTTGAACCGACCATGCGGGGTGTCAGAGTAATTAATGAAAGGGAAAGGAAGAGGGGCTGCGTACGCCGACGTAAACCTAAATCGAAGTGCGAACTGATGCCTCATACTCCGTACTTATAAAACGAGGTAAAGAAAAGCCGACTTGTTTTATAAATAAGGAGTAGGGGGGAGTAGTTGATACGGGCTTGATTGACAATTAATAAATAAACATAAGCCCACTAGAGTAAGCCCAATACGATAGGCCCATAATGAAGAACCCATGGTGTCTTAGCTCGGTACCGTGAGCGAAGTCGTCGTATGGCGCGAACCCCGGAACTACTTGGGAGTACCTTAACTCGCTAGCCCAATACCAAAACGAGGTAAGGCGAGCCCAGGACAATACAGGCCCAAGATACATGACTTGGGGGAAAAGAGAAACCCTAAAAAAGGAAAGCCTTGGAGGCCAAGCTTTCCTCATCTATAAATAAGAGAATCAACACACACACAAGGGGATGAGATTTTTTACACTAATCACTATTACATTGCATATACATTTTTCTATTTCCGATCACTGACTTGATCGTCGGAGCTTTCCCGCCGGGAACCCCTCCCGGCGTTGCAGGTTTATTCACCCGGAGTACGAACGGAGCTGGCTTGAGGAAGACGAAGACCTACGGACTAAATCAAGATAGAAGTACCTAATTGCGGCCCTTCAGCTTTAGTGGCGAATTTGAGTAATGTTAAATCCTACCAACTAAACATCTTAATAACTCCTACAATCTAGTTAATCTAACATAGCACTAGCAAGCAGGTGAGGTCTTAATAGAATGCCATAAATCGAATAATCAGTACATTATTAAATTTTGTATGGTCAAAAGTGAAATAATATGTAGTTGGAGTGGTTAATTAGTAAATAGATGATTGGGTTACATATTTTATTATTAAATATATAGTCTAGGCCCAATTGCAGCTGAATTATGGTCCAAATATGACATATTCAGAGATTATTTTTATTATTTAAATTTATTTATTTTGTCACTTCAATGAAAATGACCAAATCAACGAGCCTCATTTCAATCGATGACGTGGCATGTTCAAATTTAAATATATTCCACGTATTGTTTCAATTGACCAGCACATGTCACTTTTTTCGACGTCTTTTTTTCGTAAACCTTTTAATTTTTCATGATACTCAATCACCGAGACGACACGTGTATTATAATATTTAACCAATGATATACGAAAAACGACTATAATTGTAGATTCATACAATTATAAGTATAAGTTCGAGCTCGAGCTCAGACGCATAGAAATTTAATCGAACTTTCAAATTCGATTCGTTTACACTTATAATCGAAACATGCATGTGCACTGTGCACCAATGGCCGAGCGACATGTGGTAAACTTTTTGTGGTTTAATTTTTTGTTTAATTAGTAACTAATAGAAGAAAATTTAAAATTATGAATTATTTAATTTAGCGGTACGTGCTTGGGACTAATTTCAATGTTGAAACATACCATTTATTTTCTGTATTAATTGATTGTACGGCATCAAATCCAGATAATTAGGTCACCCTCATTTGCAGCTCAAAAGATCAGCCATAATTAATAATTAATAAAAAAAATTTAATTTATTTTTTTGTGGAGACATAATTAATAAAATAAACAATAATGTAATTTTCTCCCTCTCTCTCTCTATTGACTTAGAGCCTGTTTGGCTAAGCTTATAAGCTCGTAAAAACATCTTATAAGATGTTTAGGAGCTTATAAGTTGTTAAAAGGTGTTTGGTAAAAAAATTGCAAAAGATCTTATTTTTTCCAAAAATAAGCTGTTAGGGAGCTTATAAGATGTTTTTAAAAAAGTACCTCTACCCCACCTTTTTTCTTTAAGATCTTATTTGCTTCTTTACTAAAACACTTAAAAATACAAAATTACCCTCAAATACTTTATTATATTACATGAATACTAATAGTATTTATATTTTATCAAAACAACGTATTATTGTAATCAAGATTAATAATTAGTTAAATATAATTATCGTAATTATCATAATAATTGTAAAAACATTATTCACTATTTATATTTTATATGTATATAAAAATACACGAATATTCTTATTATCTCCATAATAAATTATATTTCTTTCATCTATAAAAACAAATTATATTTCTTTTACAACTTTTATTTTATATTATTATATAATTTTATATTATTATTATTATTTAAAAAAATAATTTGTAAATATTATAATAATATTTTATGAACAAAAGTATTTGAGTCAACAATTCTACTCGCGTCATGTACTTTTTTGTCATTATAGCAATAAACAGATCTTTTATTTCCAAACACCTGAACAACTTATAAAAACTAAAAGTAACTTATAAGCTACATATCCAAACACCTTAAAAAATAATTTTTAAAATAAGATCTAACAGCTTATCAGCTCCTAAAACATCTTATCAGATGTAGGAGCTTATAAGATGTTTTAAATAAGCTTAGCCAAACGGGCTCTTAATTTGTTTAATTATATTACTTTCTATTATATTTATTTTATACGATCCTTTAGCTAAGAGAATATATACAACATGGCATATAAGCGTTGAAATAGTAGAAATAAAATTAATATCAAATAATTATGAAATTAAAAATAATTAATGAAAAGGCAACCGGACATATATTTTCCGACCAAGCTCCTCCTCCTCGTCCACGTCATCACCACCATCATCTTCGAGATCAATCTGAAACGCCGTCACCATTTCTACGCCGCCATGCAAAGCAGCTTTGCAGTGGATGAACAACACGGTGGTTGCAGCCATACTATACAGGGACAAAATCGTCCAAAACCCAACACAAAAAATCATCTGCACAACAAAGTATTCCCATCTTACAGTACTATTTCTTCTTACAATCGCCACCAGATTCCAACACCAGATCCAAGAAACCCCGAACAGAATCCCGAAGAAGAACATCATCGAAAACACGACCCTTTTAGCCTCATGCACCAAAAACCCGCTCCTCTTCAGCGGTGGAAAACCCCACTGCGACTCCGCAACCACCACCGGAGTTGCCACGTACCACCGGAAAATAAAGTAAATCATCGCCGCAGCTAGGAAGGCGGCGATCAGGAGATTCAGGACTGTTACAAATACAAGAACGAGAAAATATACACGATGTATTTCTAACGGCTGCCCGGATAATAAACGAAGACCTTCGTACGTCAACCGCACGGAATTACCAAACCCTAAAACAATCAAACCCTGGGTTATCTTGGCGGTTAAATGCGTGGCGAGAAGCGGGAGAAACGAAACCCGAATCGAATCGAGAGAGGAGATAAGTACGCCGGGTTTGCCGTAGAATCCACGGAACGTGCTGTGTGTGATGGAAGCCTTGGCGCAAATCCCGAAAACGAGAACGAAAACGGCGTAAAGAATCGGGATCGTGATTCGGCCGGAGAGAAGATGTGAGGTGGGGTGAAGGGAAAGGAAAGTGTAGGTTATGGCGGAGAGAGAGTAGTTCGGGAGGAGGAAGAGGATCGAAAGGGTGGAGAAGTGGCGGGGCTGGGCGGTGATTAGTCGCCACGTGTCGGAGAGTACTCGCCGGAGATTCGGTCGGTGGGTTGACATTGTAATCGGAGATGAGGTTATATTGGAAATGAGATAGGAAAATTACATTGAAAGGATGTTGTAGTTTTATTTATATGCACAACGTAAGTTTGACTATTAATTAAGAATGAGCATTTTGCAGTATAGTGTATTATTTTTATTTGATGAAATAATTATTTTAATTAATTAATTAGTTGTGTAGATTATTGTTGATCCTATGGGTGATTATTGGCCCACTTGTCCTACTAGGCTACTATGCTTGATGTATAAACGTGTATATATATATATATATATATATATATATATATATATATATATATATATATATATATATATATATATATATATATATATATATATATATATATATATATACATATATATAAAAAGTGCTCTCCCGTGTTAGAGAATCACTTAATTGTTGAAATATACTATAGCTTATAGGGAGATAGATCGTGGTAGGAATCACTTAATCAAAGAATGTATGTACTATTATAGAGAGATGAATGGTAGAGGAATATAACGAATTCGACTATGACTTTCTCTTTTTAAGTGTCGTTTAAAGCTAATCTGCACACGTTAAAAAAGTTATTAGATAGCTTTGAGTTTAGAAGAAAAACTAGTTATTTGACAAAACTATCAATTTTTTTTTCTTTTTCGATTTTTGTGTATTACTTCATTAATAAATAAATAAGAAAACAATAAACAAAACACGACAATCCCACTTTACACAATTGAAATATCGTATTTTGGCACTTATGTACGTGGGAAAATCCGAATCCCGCCGATTCAAATACAAAAATTCCCGATTCTTGAAAAATTCCAATTTTTTAACGTTCCGATTTTTGGCTCTCTCTCTCTCTCTCTCTCACACACACACACACACACACACAGTCTTACAACATTGTAAATAGTATTATCAAAGATGATCGAAAAAGGAGTGGTCTGCAATTTAAATAGTTGTAGATGCCACATACATTACAATCGTGGAACAATTATTATCTGGGTCTCCTCACCTCACATTATCTAAACCAAAACGATGGTTAAAACGATAATTACTCACAAATCAAACACCTCAATTGCAAATACACACAGTACAGAAGCTCAAATGGCAATTTAGTGATTTACACATTACTAAAAGGCAACGGGAGATATTCATATTCCCCACCAAACTCCTCCTCCTCATCACTCTTATGAAACGCCGCCATATCTTCGCCGTGCAGAGCTCTGCAGTGGATGAACAGCACGGCGGTTGCAGTCACACTGTAAAGCAAAAACACCGTCAAAATATTAGCACAAACAATCGCCTGCAAACAAAACCCCCAACTTTTCCATCCATTTCCGCCGCCGCCGCCTGATTTAGCCACCACAATCGTATACCACATCGACAGAAGCCCACCCAAAATTAAAAACACCACCACTTTCGAAAACGCCACCCATCTCATCCCCTTCACCAGATGCCAACTCCTCTTCAGCGGCGCGAATCCCCACCGCGATTCCACAACCACCACCGCCGTCGTCAGACACCACCCGACTTCTACGTAAATCATCGCCGCCACAACTAGGGCGGCGATCAGGATCACGAAAATTAGAAAATACAGACTGTCGTAGTCCATTTCGAGCCCTAGTAGAAGAAGCCCGTTGTACGCCAGCACCATGGAAACACCGAAACCGAAGATAACCAGTGCCACAATTATCTGCGCGACCAGCTTCGTCGAGAGAAGAAGGTAAAACGAAACCATAATGGATTTCAGGGAGGAGGTGAGCGTCACGCGCTTGCCGTAGAAACCGCGCACGGTGCTGTAGGTGATAGAAGCGCTGCCGCAGAGCCCGAAAACGGTGGCGAAAATGAGGTAAGTGATTTGGATATGGAGCTGCGATCTGCCATAGCCGGAGCGAATTGAATCAGGCCGCAGAAGGAACTGGTAAATTAGGGTGGAAATTGAGATTGGGAGGAGGAAGAGAACTGAGAGGGCGGAGAAATGGCGGGGCTGAGCGCCGATTATGTGCGATGATTCGGAGATCAATCTCCATAGATTTGGGCGTTGGGTTGACATTATTGATCGGAAACGACGACGTATTAGCGTCTGTGTGTGTGTTTTTGTTTTTTCAGTGCGTGAGAGAGAATGTATTTTGATTGATGAAGAAATATATTTATCCCACAGGCCACCACACGAGACATATATATATATCAATCATATGCATATCATTTCATCAAAATAAATTCAAATATAATTTTTCAAAATTAATTATAAAGTCAAACAAACTTTATATATTGACAAACCGCGTTTATATATAGAGTCTTTGGAACCAAGTTTTTTTTTTTTTTTCCTTTATAATAATTAAAAGGGTAAATTACAGAACAACCCCTCATGTTTGGATAATTATAACTAGCCCCTCAACTATGAATCTTCTTACACTTCCGCTCTTATGGTGTCGAACTAAATTTAATCTTCTAGATTCCGTGGAATGTTCTTTAGTTTGTACTCGTTTGGTGCAAAAATGCAGTTTCTGATGCACAACAATCTGATATATACAAACCAAAAAACACATCTTATGATCATCTTGCTTCAAAATGTGGAGCTCGAATGAGATGGAACGGGCACAAAATTGAGAATACTCCATATAATCTAGAAGATTCCACTAAATCTGACACCGCATGAGTGCACGTATAAGAATATTTATAGTTGCGGTGGTGGTTGTAATTATCTAAAGGGAAAAGGTTTTTTCGTAATTTGACCATATTTTAGGGGTGAGTTGTAATTTACCCTAATTAAAAAAGAGTATAAATTTTTCGAACCAAGTCGTATACGTTACAAGAGTCGATTTTGATAATTATTTCAATATATTTCCATTCATGTATAAAAACAAATCTCGACTAGCACAATTATAATCCACTATTTCTATATCTGTTTAATTGTTATTATTATTTTTATCTCCTATCTAATTCTTATTTGCTTCATTTAATTGTAAATTTCATAATTTGACAATTAAGTTTATATATATTCTTTCGGTACGAATTTGTATTATTAAATTTGTATAAATATTAATGTTGTTAATCACTAATATTTTTTTTTATTATACTTCTTATTGTATATAAAATTAATCATTATTTTTCACTTTTGAAATATTATCCCATGCATTGCCAAAAAAAAACTGCCAATACATAATTTCAGAATCCATTGAGTACAACTTACAAGAGTCAAGTTTGCTAAAACGAGAGAATAAAAATCCCATCACCATAGCAGGGTACATAATCAAGTTTTATGGAGATCCGATTTTGTTTTTCGAAAAATATATAAAGACTACTTCGATGCTCGGGTCTGGACCAATTTTGAATTTAGAGTTAAGCTGGGCGGGTTCGACCTCTAATCGGTCTGGAACTAGCCGAGAACCGGTTAACCTGATGACTGGTCTTGACTCTTGACCCATCTGTCAACTCGTCTTTTAGGTGGGTCGGGACCAGGTCATAGATGTTAGAAGTGTGGCGGAGCAGGTTCTGAACCGTGGACATGTCTAATCGGACATCTACTCGAACAAACTCACCATCATCAATACAGAATGTGGATCGTATATAGCGATTTGCCGTATGAATCGGGCTGCTGCAAAAGGAACTCATAAACGAGGGTGGCAAATGAGATTGGGAAGACGAAGAGAAGTGAAAGGGCCCAAAAATGGCGGGGCTGAGTGCCGATTATCTTCGATGTATCGGAGAGTAGTCTCCATAGATCTGGGCCCTGTTCGGTTGACATTACTATGATCGTGTGTGTGTGTGTGTGTTTCAGTGTGTGAGACTGGAATCAATGGATATCTTGATAAATATATTAATCATATGCACAATGATCATTGATCAAAATAAATCCAAATATAATTTTTAAAATCGAATACAGAATCAAACAATCTTTAACATTGACAAAAAACGCGTTCATTTAGAGAATCTTTCGAACCAAGTTTACTTTACTGAATGACTTATAAAAGTCAGCATTGTATAATTGTTTTGAGACTGTGTAAAAATCTAATTAAAAATAAAAGAACATTTCTTGAACAGCCAAACAATTGCAATTTATTCATATTTTTCGGAACACAACTTACAAGTAAAGATATATCAAGTTATCAACAAATCATTGAATAACAATTCTATAAAAAAGGAGGAATGCTAAAATATCATGTCTGTAACTTTCAGAAACCCTCACCTACATTCTGGCTTGTCCTCTCCTCTGCACAAAAATGCTCGATTTTCAAGAACCTTTCATCAGATCTCACATTTTCATTGCCAATCAACAATAAAAAAGACAGAGAGACGGGTGTCATTGAACACTCGGAATAGTCAGCGCCTCCAACACAGGTTCGTTTTCCTCGTTTGCAGATTCCATCCGATAAGATTTGCAGCTGAAGTAGAAGACCGCGCTCATCATCGAATCAATCAGCACCACAAACGAATACATCACCACCAAGAGAGGCCCTTCCCATATTCTAGAAGAGCCGTCTCCATAGCTAAGCGTCTTCACCCGATGCTCGAACAAACCCTCCACAAACGCCATTCCTATAGTGGACCCAAGAAATATCAACAGCCCGACTTGAGTCTGCCCTTTTATCAATGAGCTTGATCTCAGCAAAGCCTGTGGGCCCGAAACATCCTCAAGAACAGATATCACAACCGCAATGTTGCAGATAATAATCGTGTTTGCTAAAACGACCGAGAATAGAAATCCCACCACCATAGCTGGATAAAGAATCAAGTCCGACGGGAAGCCCATAATCAAGAAGAACACACTGCTCACTACTATCAATAGTACTAGGAATAAAGTGACGCAACCGGAAACTACTAAGCACACCCATAAGTACGTGAAAACCACGCGCTTCCAAATCTTGGAAACGATCACGTATAGCTTCGAAGAATCGAACTTCCTTCTTGAGTAAGTACAGTCGACCGAGTAAACCACAGCAGCCTTGGACAGAAGAGATAGCGTGATGAACAAAGGGAAGGACAGCGTAACCGAAACCACCGTTTCCGACAACTTTTGGCACGAGTGTTTGACGAAAGGCCTGAGAGGAAGTCCGCTCGACTTTGCGATTAGCAATAGGCGTATAGATAGCCACTTTGATAGGGATTGATTAACCAACACATTAGACAAAACCACAGCAGAAACTGGGCAGATTAACACTGCAACAATCGCCATAAACCCTGCCGAATTGTACCGAAGAATCCTGACAGTTTCTCTCAAAATTTCCAGAGCGCTCATGGAGCGAAAATGGTAATCGTGCACAACGGTCTCCAATTCGAGGTTTTCGATATCGGCCGCTTCTTTTTCCTCATGATCTATATCTCTATCCAATGCATGTGAGTTGGGTCTTGGGTTCAACCCACTCGATACTTCCATTTTTTTGCACAATTTTACTCCACTTATCAAAATCCCAGAAAAAACAAATTAATCAATCCTAAGAAACAAAAGCGGAATACCCCCAATTCGATCGCACTTCCGAAACAACCCTAGACAGATATTTTGGAGAAATCTCATTCAGATCTAAAATCAAACACAAGAGGCGCACTCAACAAAGCATACCTCCAAGAAAGAAACAGAAGATCGCGCATTGACTCCTCCATCTACATTTTCCATTTGTGGGAAAAATCACGCTCCCAGCAAAATCCCTAGAAAGCTGAAAACACTAATTCAATACATCTGTAAACGTAATCGATCAGGGAATATAATGTACGGGGATGCAAAAAAAAAACGAGAAGAAGCGTTTGTCAGATTATAGCTCACGAGAAACGTAGGAAAGGTCACGTTGGGAGAGAGATTGAAGAGAGAGAAAGAGGAGAGAGAGAGAGATCTGTGATGAAGAGTGTGAAGAAGGAGAAAAGAATAATAAATCTATATTTGGATTTTGAGGGCGTCAAAAATGAACGGCATTTTGGAAGGGGGAGGAGGAGAGGAATCACCCAAGACCGATAGCGAAGACTACCGTGGCGCTATAATCTGTGTGCAGCTGCACTGTATCTATAGGTTGACTCGTTTTCCCCCTTTTCCTTTTTTGACACGTGGCTATTTCTTGCTATACATGTGATAAGTGTCCGTTTCAGTTTTAATAATATTATTGTTTCAACTTCGAATGTGGTTTTGACCATTGTTTAGTTTGTATTTAGAGAAATTTAAGACACGAAATTTGTGGTTCGAGTTTGTATTTTTAATACTGTTCGGATCACCAAAATTTGTTTGTCGATGAGAAAGATATTCATGAAATAATGAACGGTGCACGCAACTTTGATGTTTTGAGTTATGTAAAAATTCAAAATGTAAAACTCATTTATACATACTTTTGTCAACCAATATCCTATAACGATGATTAAAATTGGATTAGAAAGCTATTTTAAAAGACTGCAGTTCAAGTGCCTTGAATTTTTGCCAAAATCAGACTAGAAAAGGGCTTAAAATCACGTTTGAAGTTGAAACTGTATTTTGTAAAATTGAAACGACATTTAGTATTTCAGTTTTTTGTAATTATTTGATTTTGTTTTGTATTATCTTTTAATATATATACATAGTTTTTTAATCTCTTTAATTAAGTGGCGTTATTTGTATTCTATAAGATAGCATGTAATGATACATAGGGAATAGTGATATTTTGTGATTCTCTAATTTGTACATCCTAACTACTAAGCAAATTGACATGAAAGTGGTTTTTATTTTTTTGGTATAGCAATACAACATTGACTGTGTTTTGTTTGATTAATTTTTTAAGAGTAAAAATTAGGCAACTGTGTTTTGTTTGATTAATTTTGAAAATGGATGACTTTTGTTGATTTAATTGTTATACTAAAAATATTTTCATTAAAATACAAATAAATAACACTTTATTTTTTCTAAAATCATTTTAAAATATGATAATTTGACTGTGATAATATAAATTTATATTCTTTAAATTAAAGCAAACATTAATTTATTTATTTTAATTTATTTTTTCTTATATCTTTTCAAAAAATAAATTAAAATATGGTCTCAAAAGTCGAAACCGGCCCAAAACATATCCCAATGGGCTCCATTTTAAATTAAAGCGTAAAGTTAATATTTTCCCTCTAATAATAAATGAGTAATAATAATAGAAAAAACATTTGGCGCGTCGATTCAACCCCCGCCGCGAACGGAAAAGGGGAAATTGGATCCCTAAAAGCTCAAGGTTAGGGTTTCATACGTCGTTTTATTTGAACGTTAATTACATAAAAATCTCTGCTCCGTTTGTTCCGAGGATTAATTATGCTGTTTTTTTCCGCAATTAATTTTCAAATTGATAATTTATTGCTACATTGTGTGTTTAATCTGGACTTTTATGAAGAATTACACCTGAGCGTGTTAAGAAATCTGATTTTACTCTCTTTTTTCGAATTCATGATTCGCTGCGACGTCATCTTCTTTTTTGGGTGTTCATGAAGCCAAATGACCTAATTGTTGGATCAATGAAGATATTTATCATGCCTCATAAGTGATTTTCAGTGAAAAAGTTACATTATAGCTTTTTTTAAGTTCTTTATTATCATCTATATTTTATCCTGTGTGGAGATGCATGAATAAATCTTAGTTCTTGGAGTGAAATAGTGCTACTGGATTTAACTTATGATGGAGCAAATACATGATCAGATTGGGGGGTGGGGGTGCGTGATCGATTTCTTTATCAGGAACCATTGAAAAAAAAGAGAGATGTTTTTAACTTTTTATGCAAAAACTATTTAAGATATTATAACAATTGATATTTTTTCTACATTCTTCTTATTACTACAGTCGCGAGTACCGGATATTTTGCTTGACGTTGTTCTTGTTGCTCTATGATTTGATGTGTAAGAAAATTCATTCGGGAAGCTGACCATATTCAGTTGACTGATTTTGTCTATATTTTGTCTGCCTTCTTTCTGCTGTTTCTATTATCGTGTGTATTGAACTCTGTAATTAGTGACAACGAGTTATTAGTGTGCTACGCTTGTCCGGTAAAGTTGAGAGTTGAGGCTCAATATCATAGCAGAAGGGACGAGGTTAATGTTTTACAGCTGAGCAATTTAAACTTAGTATTTATAACTATTACTATCTACATAATTGTATTGTTTAATAGTTGTTACTCGTAACACCTTACGACTCTGAAGATGAAGAAATCGAGGCGGAAGTATCAACAGCTATACTGAGAAACTGATGGTCCGAGTTTGGAATTCGACAATTCGTTAATCCTCCCCTAGGTAATTTTGTAAGACTTGATCTTTAGCATTAGTTGACAATTCGATTAAAATAATTTTCACCTTGATAGCAAATCTTGAAAGCCTCTGCACTCATCGCCCCTAACTTAGTAAATGAAGAGAAAAGGATTAGGATTTTTATTTTTTCTTGTTACAACAGTTAAGTTCATTGAGTTTGTGCAGATTAATCGATTACGATGTTTTATGTGTGCATTTTACGACACTCTTAAGTTGTTTGTCAATTTTCTGAGATTATTATTATTATTATTATTTTGACAATTACTTGAAAAATATTGCAGAAATCATGTTTTGCTTCTGTTCTATATAAGCTTTGATTTTTATGTTTATTATGGTGTTTTGCGATATTTAACTTTACCGCGAGCGCAGGTCTCTACAAGAATAAATTATTTATGTTACTAATTTTTAAAATTTTACCGTAAATTGAAAATATATCTTTATTCTGTCTTGATAAAAGGTTTAACGTTTGAATTTTCTGGTTATGTAGATTTAAAGATTATTATAAAACATTTATTGATCTTGTTTAAACAAATTTATTTTGTAATAAATTTCAAATCTTTAATTGTAGTTGTTTTAATCTTTTTTCTGGAGTAATATACTTCTTTATTGATAATACAAAAAAAAAATCAGTGTGTGAGGGAGGGATCCCATGGTTCGCAAGTGAATGGACAATACAATGTCCATCACACATCAAGAAATTGACAGTCGGTACTTGATGGGCCCAAACCTGATAATCGTACGGTCAAGATTCCAAACTGTGATTGATGGACGTTACTGTAAATTGCTTTAGTTCCGTAGTTCCCCCGTTTGATGGGCCGTTACTTGTTGGAATTACGTTATCCTTTCAACTTTACGGGTTTTATAGATTCTAAACCCGATAAAATATATCGGGTGATTCTGCACCATTAATCTACTCATAATGTGTACATGTGTTTAGTCACCCAATTCTTTTCATCCACTAATTTTCTAAATTTGTTTTTTCTCAAGTATTTCGAAATAAAACGGCAGAGTACAGATAAGAGAGACTGACAGAGAAAATAGTACATGATCACAAGAGAGACTTAAAACAAAATTCACATGCAGTGTGGGGTAAAGGGTAGGTTAGTAAATTGATAAGAGACACAAAATGGATTTTTATGAAAATGAAATGTGAAGAGACAAATGAGGAACTCACAAAGCACCCTCTCGCTGCTTTCTTTTTACTTCATAATATCCCATCTCTCCTCTCTCTTTCTCTCTCTCTCTCTAACTATCTCTCTCTCTCTCTCTCTCTCTCTCTCTCTCTCTCTCATCAGTGATGGCTTCTGATGTACGTCTCTGCATGGCTGTTTCTGTGCAACAACTGCAGCTCAGCTAGCTGAATAGTAAGTACTTACTCGGGACAATACCATGCTTTTACTATACACCAAGAAAAAAAATTAGTGTTAATTAAGCTCACCCTAATGTTATGACAAAATTACAAAAAAATCCATAATATTTGAGCAATTACAATCATGCCCCTAACTATGAAACTCCTTACACATTCACTCTTGTGGTGTCAAATTTTGTTCAATCTTCTAGATTACGTGTAATATTCTTCAATTTGTATACGTTTGACCCCATTCGAGCTCAACAGTTTGAAACAAGATGATCATAAAATGTGTCTCTTGTCTTGTAAATATCAAATTATGGTGCATTAGAAACTGCATTTTCGCACAAAACGAGTACAATCTAGACAACGTTCCACGGAGTTTATAAAATTCTGTTTGAATTTGCAACCATATATAAGAAGACTGGATGTGTAAGAAAATTCATAGTTGATGAAGGTAATTGTAATCACACAAACAACAGGGGTATTTTCGTAATTTAACTTTATTTCGATGGAGCGGCCGTAATTTATCCAAAAATTTAATATCGAAGAAATTAAAATACAAAAAAAGAAGTAATAAATGCAAGAAAAAAGAGTTAAGAATGGGAGTTTCTATGTGAAATATATTTATGAGAGTAGCCAGACTAGGTTCTATTTTTTTCCCTACTAGTAGTTCTGCAAATTCCAATAATGCCCCTAGATTCTGTACTCATTCTTCAATTTGGAATATGACTATTCATTTTATTTAATTTTTGGTATCAATGACACATTCTGAAGAGGGATTAAATATTTAATAGGATGACCATTCATTATGGTTGCTGCTGTGAACTGAGATACTCTTCCTCCTCTCTGTTTTGCCCTACTGAAGCTAAATATTTACTCACTTTTTAATTTTACTAATTAATTAATTCCCTTTTGCCACTTCTGAAAAAAGATATTTGTTTTCTTTTTTAATGACAATACAGCTCATTAATGTCAACTCAACAGTGGTAGGTCTCAGTTTCTGTTATGCATATTTAATTTTCACCCGCAAAAAATAATATTTTCAGTTGTGTAAATTACGAAAACACCCCTCCTATTTTGGTAATTACGATCACCGCTCAACTATGAATCTTTTTAAACGTTAACTCTTATCGTGTCGAATTCAACAAAATCTTCTAGATTCCGTAGAATGTTCTTTAGTTTGTACTCGTTTTGTACAAAATGCAGTTTTTTATGCACCAGAATCTGGTATTTTGTAAGCCAAAAATGAAGAGACGCATCTTATGATCATATTGTAAATGTGGAGCTCAAATGGGATAAAACGTGTATAAACTAGATAATATTCTATAAAATCTACAAGGTTCCACTAAATTTGAACCGCAAGTGTGGATATGTAAGAAGATTCATAATTGAGTGGTGATTGTAATTAAAATAGAAAGAAGTTTTTCGTTATTTGACATTAACTCAGAAGTTGGCTGTAATTTTCCCAATTTCAAATTATAAATGAAAGTATTAGAAGAAAAAACTCTTCAAGAACAGAGATTGATAAATCCAACTACAATGAATCTGATAAAAAGTAAAAATAAATAAAAAAAATTAATAATTAATTTCAATTTTCTTTATTATAAACTGGAAATTTTGCATTACAAGATCAGCAATAAAACATCAACTTCCTAATATTCTCACTAAGTTTAGGTAAAGGCATCGCCTTCGGTATCGAATCCCTCGAAATAGTTATACTCAAATCCGATCGGTCGAGATACAAGCTGCCTCTATATGCAGCAAGATGCGCATAATAAACGGGAGGCACAATAGATACAGGCTTCGTACACCTCACAAACGTGTAGCAAAGATTGTAGACCAACTTCTGCACTTCGTCGGACGTAAATTTGTTTTCGTCCCATAATACATGGTAATGAATCGGCCTGCTCGTCCCCTTCACACCCCAATGGCTACAAAGATAGAAATCGAACTCCCTCGGATGAACGATCACACTGTCGACCACTGTCCCCGGCGAAACATTCTCGTCCGGCGGTAACTGATTCTCGGTGGGGAATAATCTGGTGTGGTGGCGCTTCTGCACCACAGCGAAAGTGATCGGAGGGGCATAATCGGAAAATCTCGAGCAAGCCTCTTTAATAGCTTTCAGCTCCTCATGCATCACTTTGTGGAACTGCGTTTCGCTTACTCCATCTCGAAAGAATACAATCCTAGTCGGGAGTTTTGAGAGCTCGTGTAAGAAATCCTCCAATATTTCCGTAACCATATTACAAAGATCTTCGATTATTTCTTGCCGGTGAGTTTGCGACCTCATTCTCGAGACGTATTTATTCGAAGCGGGCCAGTTCACACTGCCTACAACAGCGGCGACGGAAGGGGTAGAATCGTCCAATGGATGAGGATGAGTGACATCAGCGCCCATGAAAATAACGGGATCTTCTTGTCTGAAAAGCCTCGGGATTTGAGAAGGGAGTGTGTTGTAGAGGGCGACAGTGCATCCACCGACTTTCGCGTTTATCTTGAGAGCTAAATTTGCGAGAAACTGCGAGCTCATTTTTTCAAGATTCGAGTACAGACAGCATTGGCTCACTATTCCGATCCTAGTTTCGGCAATTCTTTTTAAGTCCGCGTACCCTTTGTGTTTCCTCTCCATAACACAAACGAGCAATTGGAGATTTCCCGAAGAAGAGTTATAAATTTTCTTGAGTTTGGACTCCAAAAGCTTCGGATTTCCGAGCACGTGCATCGGCTCGTAAATCGGTTCGACTACTGTGTTCTTGTGGAGGTATATACCCAAGTGTTGGCATCTTTGAGAGAGGTGGTTTGTGAATTTGCCTATGGTGGATTTCTGTTCGTGGGTCCCGCCAAAACTCATGATCGCCCACCTCTCGACACGCGTGCTCTCGAAGACGTGGCTGTCTAAAAGGTTCCATTGTCGATCGTTTCGGAAAGGTGTTAAATTTCTTACATTGCCACCGTTTCCGAGCTTCAGCTTCGGAGGCTGAAGAATTCTCCCCGTCAATCTCGTCATTTCTTTCGAAACTCGAAGCTTAAATTCTTTTCCTTGATCACCGCTGTAAAAACAAGAATTCATCACGCAAACTATTGAGATACGAAAAAAAAAATGCAAGAAGTTTAGTTTATATATAAACCTGGCTGGCCCAAACGATCCTTTCATAACTTTATCGATAATCGCCCTTCGTTCTTTCGGCCTTTGACAGCCCATTTTGAGTATTTTCGCCGTTTGATCATCCGAGAGTTTTCCGAGAAACTTCTGCCCTTCACAAATCACACAAAGCTCCATAGGCAAATAACACGGCTTCCTTCTACTAATCTGCAAGCAAGGCAAATTCATATACTGTATATCGTACCCATATTGCTCCTTGAAATAGCTCGTAAGTCTCATACTCGTCCCATCTCTATCGGGAAACCAAAGATCTTCCGTAACCTTTTCAGTCAACCCGTAAACTCGGTATCTCTGCATGGTTTCTCTATGGCAGACAAAAACCCTCATATTCTTGAGTGCTTTCTCCACTTCATCCTTCTCCTCGCTCGTCAAACTCAAAGCCCTTTTGCAAGATAGGTCCCGCATAAAGTCGAGCCGTTTCTGCAAATAGGGGATCACTCCGATGCTCTCGTGGAAGGCAGTAACCGAGAAGTCGACGTTGAGAGCAAGCCCTTGTTGTGTAGGTCTCAAGCTTTGAAAGAATCCTCTAAGTGCAATAGCCCCACCTCCGATTTCTTTCGCACCTCCCACTGAGCTCGAGTAGAACGACCTTCCGGAAGGTATACACTTCTCGGTGGGACCCTCGCGGAGAACTACATCCAATGCGTGGATGTACTCTTGAGGAAGAGGGGTCGAATCGTATTCGACTCCATTGTTTAGGTAATTGCTAGGGGCTTTTCCGTCGAATTTCGATACGAGCTTGATATTTACGCGGAAAACCTTCGACGGCGTAAGAGGAGATATCGGGAGGCTAATGTAGAGATCGAGATTCTTTTCTTGGAATTCGATAGGGCTGTAAATGGTTCTCCGGCCGTCGAATACGGGTACTGCATTGGAGAGAAGGGACGAATTTTGTTCGACAAGTTTCTGTTTGATCATTCTTGCGAATTCTTTCGATGGGTTTGGATGGATTTCGATGTCGTAGTGGAAGATCTTTTGAGACGGGTCGAATTCGACTAGGAAATGATTGGCTAGGAGGGTTATCGGCTTGCCTTCGATTCCGCCGGAATCTGGTCTTCTTGCAACTTGGAATTGTTTTTTATTTGCATCACTAACAATCTTTCTTCCATTTTCTTTAGGGTGACAAACCACTCTCTTCTCCACTTCTGCTAATAAAACATTAAAGATTCAATTTTTCTCCACTTCAGCTAATAAAACATTAAAGATTCAATTTTTCTCCACTTCTGCATTAAAGATTCAATTTTTATTTACTCTTTCAGTCTTTAATTTCAGAATAAATTTCATTACACTGTGATATTGCTCAAGCATTTCAAAAGGGTTCTGAGCAAAAGTGAAAAAAAAGAGATTAAAGAAATAAAATAAAAATTACCTGGTGCAGGTGGAACAGGGTAATTGTGATTCCTTGTGGGTTTCTTGAAATGGGTTCTTGACCCGAATCCATGGTTTTGAGGGAAACAAGGAGCAACTGAGAGATGCAGGGGTATGGTGGGAGGCAGGGGAAGCAGAGCAGGGAAAGTTTGGTATTGATTCGTGTAACCGAACCCGAACCCGAATCCGTACCCGTACCCGTACCCATATGGGTTCTGAATCAACTGCTGGTGATGATGATGATGGTAGGTAAAAGCAGTTTCACTGCCTCTGTAACTGCTTGTTCTTGGACTGCATTTTGTGCTTGTTTTATTATTATTAGTGTTGGACTTTTCTTCTTGTTGTTTTTCTTCTTCCATGGCTTTCTTTTTTTTTTTTTTTTGTTTTTGTTTTGAGATAAGAAGAAAACAGAGTGAAGAGTCTCTCACTTAGCCAAAAGGGCCTATTTGCATGAAAGAGATGAGCGAGGTTTTTAGTATACAACGCAAGAAACTGTAGTAAATGCCAAATCTCACAGAGACAGAAAATCTCCCTCTCTCTCTCTCTCTCTACATAAAATCTCTCTCTCTCTCTCTCTCTGTTTTTTTTTTTCTCTCTGCTGTTCCTTTTTACCTTCTGCAGTTCTGGAGCAGGGTTTTCTGAAGCTGGTTGAATACTAATTGTTCAGGAGGCAAAAGGTGGGACCTTTACCATAATTTTGCCAATTTTTTTGTTATTTTTTATTTAATAATATTTAATCAATGTTTTCTCGTGCCTTTCTTGAATTATATATAAAACACAAGGGAAAAAAGAAAAGGACCACAACCAGAAGGCACAAAGCACAGGTTCTTGTCTTTTGTCTTTGATTAATGTACTCTTTTAAGTCAACTAACTAAAGGATAGGTTAGGCTTTCTTGTTTGTTAATGCTTTGAAGATTAGCAACTTGATTAGTGCTGCTAATCATCCATTAATCACCTCAAACTGTCTAATCCGATCTACGAATTAGTTTGGTTTTAAGTTTTATATTATATGTACGATTGCGTGTCAATTTACGATGGCAAAAAAAAAACCCGTTTTATTTTACTGAGTGTAGCATCTAAAGAATCGATTTTTTTTTTTTTACACATTTGAAAAAGAGATCTTGCATTTTCACAGTTTCATTCTTGTAACTTAGCTAATTGAAAGAAGACAATGTAGGATTATATGAAGGAGTTTCCTATATATGCCCCATTGAATATGACTATTCATTTTCTATATTTTCATCCAAATAGTATACAATGAATAGTCAAGAATTGTTTTTTATTCATTTATTCATTTGTACTAATGGATAATAATTGATGGATTTGTACCATTTGATATAATGATGGTACTCCCAAATGATGTAATTAAGAAATGAATTGAGAAATTGTACAAGATAAAAAAAAAAAATTGAAGCCCAACAAGTGGAAAGCCTGTCGAAAATGACTATTTCGACTATAAATACTAAACTTCATGATTTATTTGAGGTAGATTTCCTTGACAATTTAGAGAATTTTCTACTCTACGAATGATATTCCCGTTGACTTAATCATTGAGTTACTTACTTGACATTCGAATTTTAACCCATGTTCATATTGGACACGTGGCAGACTAGCAGGGGACCATATTTTCCCGATTTACTTGAGTTTGAAAAATTGTGAATATACTTGATCAGCATCAGCTATTAGTTAAAAGAAATGATCAAAATTTGATGATGCAATGTGAGGTAATTAACATAGTCATAAAGACATAACCCTATTATTTATTGTCCCTAATTTTAAATTTTAATCCCTTTGTTGACCATAATGTAGTCCCACTTAAAAGCTATTAAGCTACCCTTTTTTTTTGCCCAACTTTTCTTAACATACTCATATGGTTGGTGGAAAGAAAAAGATTGGATACCCTTTTGATTCAATATTGTCATATATATATTACATTTTAATAAGATTTATCTACATATATATAAAAAAATATAAATAAATTATTGGTTTGGAATTGTTGATGGGACAATATGATTAGCAAAAGCCCTTGAATTTATCAACTTATCCACCACATCATGTTCATTGTGGCCCTATCCTTTTTAAGATGTAATTTTTTTTTTTATCCATTGTCAAAAAAGAGTTTTTTTCATTTTTGGAGTTATGAACCACGTGGCTCAATTGGATTGGTCAGTATCATCATGCACCAGGATTTAATAGGTCTTTGAGATACTACACATGTTAAAATGTATCGTGCACTTATTAATTAACCATTAATGTGGTGAAATAATTTTTCACTAAACACACATACACATGGGTATGTGTGATTGTGTGTAGATCAACGGTTAATAATCACCAGTGTGTGTCACTGGGTGTAGCATCAAACAAACGGTACGGGATGTAATAAGTATGTTGAAGTTAATTGTTAATTTGAAAATTGTGAGTCAATAATAATCAGCCGAAGAGATTAAATTTTAATATTTTTTTTTGGTATACTCCATCATGATTCATGATTAATCAAGTAGAAAGATTAATCATAATATGAAAAAAAAAAAAAAAAAAAAAAAAAAGGTTGGAAAAAATAAAGAAATGGTGGAGGAAGGAGATAATTAAGACATGGGATTGTGGGAATCGCTCTGCTCTAGATATGTTTGTGCTAACCTAACACGTAACATCAAAGATTCCCAATTTATTCTCGGTAGTAACTAACAACAACTATAAATACTACTATTATAATAGTTATTGTAATAATAATAATAATAATAATAATAATAATAATAATAATAATATAGTATTATTAATTTATAAAGTATTTGTTGCCGATCGGCTAAAATTCAATGGGCTTTTGCGTTTGAAAAAGAGTTTAATCAGCCCACTTAAAACAATGGGTAGCTTCTAATTAAGGGCCTGATATGTGACAGTGGAGTTAATATTCATGCACATTTATTGCTCACTTTATTCTACAAAAATAAGAAGTAAATAAAATAATAATAATAATAATAAATTAAATAAAATTAATTTGTTGAAAATATATAGTAGTATTGAAAAAGCATTGTCCCCACATATCAGCATCAACTGCTGGAATTCCTCAATCACTTTGCATGGAATTTTGTTCTCTTTATAACTTTTATCAAAATCATTTTCAAGATATTTAATTTCCAGCAAAAAAAAAATCTCAACACACACAGTAGAGCTAATTGCATAGACCCCCCTGTGAAATCTTGAATGGTTAAAAAACCCCTTATGTTAAAAATATTAGCATATACCCCCCTATATTATTTTTGACAAAGCACACTGGCCCTTATTTCGAAATTAGCAGTTGACTTTTATGAAATGACTAAAGTAACCCACATCTTTTTTAATAGTTTATATTTCAATTAAATAAATAAAATACAAAAAGAAAAAAAAAAAAAAAAAAAAGAAAATTCACCCAGCCCATCGTCTTCATCCCCCAACCAATTCTTCCATAAGCCCTCCGCTGCATCACCACCACCACGGCCGCATCACCACCACCACGTCCGCACCACTGCCGCAACCCAATTCTTCCATCGAGCCCTCCGCCGCCGCATCACCACCACCACGGCCGCACCATCGCCGCATCAGACCACGTCCGCACCACCGCCGCATCACCAACACCACGGCCGCACCACCGCCGCCGCATCCCCACCTGCCTTCCCACCCCAAAAGAAAATATGCTTTATGTTTGATGGGTCTTTCGTATCTCTTGTAAATCAAGATGTTGGATCGAGTTACGTTTTGTGTGTGTGTGTGTATTGCACTGGGGCTGTGTTTTTTGTGCTTGAAGTGCTTTTTTCTTCCGGCGGGTTTTGATGGAGGAAGCAACTTTTGTTGTTTTTTCTTCTTTTGCAAATGGCAGGTTATGAAGATGAATCGGTGGTTTTTGTTTGTTTGTTTTTTTTTCTTTATTTTTTTTTTATTTGGCGTGCAGCAGATCTGAAGGAGAGGGGAAGAAGATGATGAAGTTTTGAGAAATTATGAAAATTGCAATTTGGTTCTATGCAATTTGGAGAGAGGGCTTTTCTGAAATTAGTGGGGATTGAATTGAAAATTCTGAAAAACTTCGTTTTAAGCTTATGAACATATTTTGGGTAAATTTATAAATTTCAAAAATTGATTTAAAGGGTATTTAGGTCTTTCTAGTTCCTAAACACGAGGCCCAGTCGCACAAAGCGCGAGTGTATAACACATCGAGCTCGTAGGGTCTTTTTTGGCTTTGACTATTTTTCACAGGGGGTTTTGTGCTAATATTTTTAACACGAGGGGTTTTTCAGCAATTCGAGATTACACAGGGGTGGTTTTTGCAAAAAACCCCCACACAGTAAGTCACTGATCTAATCATACCCTCATAATAAAGATAATGCTGAATTTATTTACCACCAAAAATGAATATATATATATATAAATGAATACAATTTGATTATCAAAGTATTTAGTACTGTTTCAAAAATATAACATGGAAAATCCAGAAGAATTTGCTGACTGGGAGCAAATCCAGTCTCCGTTTTCCGCCATTAATACAGCTGCGCCGTCGATTTTCCCACCTCGAAACCACGAGGATTTGCCAATTAGCAACGAGAATCGACACTCGCAAGAGCAAGAACCGAGCATCGGTTTGCTCTTGCCGTCGTCGGAAAGTGACGATGACGGTGTGCTAAGGAGATGGATAAGGCTGCGTTTGGGAGATGCGCAGATCGGGATTTTCCGATTTGCTGGCACGGTCGGAAAATATGTCCCTTCTAAAGGGGCATTTCGGTCATTTGCATGGACATCAGGAGGAGTTGCTGCTGCGGTTTTGCTGGTTTGGTTCTTGCACCGCAGAATTCTGCTATGGTGGCGGAGGCGCGTGCAGCTAAAGAGCGGAAACGAGAGCCTCGTGACTCTCGTAAGAGAAAAAGACGAGGTTTAATTTCATTCTTCTTGGCTTTTATAACTTTATTATTATTATTCTCTGCATGAAGAATATATTGTGAGTTTTATAATTAAGGCGCAAGCGTAACGTAATCAATTCTAGTAAATTTAGAAACCGATTTGATAAAATAAGTTCAATTTGTGTATTATGTGCTACCTAGCTTCATCCCGTTTATGCGTTCGTTCTGTTTATACTAATAGTTGGCTATGCTTATGCAGAGAATCAACCAGCTTTTGCTCCAAATTGCCACAATGAACGAGATTTTGCTAGCACGTCGAAGGGTTCCTGTTATTCGAGTAAAACGAATAAATAACACAAGGTGAACACAGAAATGCTTACTAGAAGAACACGAAAGAATGGTTCAGAACTTTGTATGTATAATGTATATTGTATAATGTATAGTTGTATACCCTTGGAATTGAGTTTTACAATTCCTTACGTATACTCGGTGCATCTTGTACCCTGTTCGTAACTAGCTACTGCGTTTTTTTTCCACGAGCCGTTTGATGAATTCGTCTAAACTACACAATCAAGAGACGACACAAATGAACCGTGATTCTGATTTCAGTTGAATTAATGCAAAGAATGTTGAATACCTTAAAAAAAAAAAAGTCGAATACTTTTCCGAATTAGACTACATCTACAATATTGCTGCGGATCAAACTTCTCTCCAAAGGCCGAGTAGTTTCACTTCTGATTCTTTTCACACCAGGACTCAACAGCCCCTTATGCCTAAAACCGTAAATATCAAGCAACTGATTATCGGCAAAGTTAAACGCTCTCTCCATGCTCTTCAAACAACTCTCCATCGTATAGTCACCGTAACCCCCACAAGTCTTGCACCCCACAAAATGAGTCACAAACGGCCACCTCTCGTCTCCCAATCCAGGATGAGAGCTCTCGAGATACTCTTCGTACTTATCAACCAACCCCACCCAATACCCGTGCAAATAATACGAATTCTCCAAGAACACCTTATCCATCCACTCGTCCTTTCTTGAAACCAGCAAGTATATCAACGCGGATTGATCGTCCGCCTCGAACGAAGGCCGATCCTTCAAGTTAGCAGTTAGAATTTTCCCCGCCTCTTCGCGGACCGCACCTTTCGGGCCCATTGGGGCCCACGAATCGAGCAAGTCCAACGACCATTGACGGTTCCTGAGAAGGAAACTCCCCGTATTCAAAGCGATCCACGATTTCTCTTCGAATAGTAAATTAGGGTAACCGTGGACGACCATGTTGTAGGGCTCGTATTTCGAAATCGGGATTTCGAAGAGCATGTCGGTGAAGAACGCGTCGCTGTCCATCCACCATATCCATTCGGCTTCCGGATGCGAAACCATTAGCTTCCTGATGAGGGGCAGTTTCGTCCAATAGCCGGATAATTCTTCGTCGAGGTTAGCCATGTTGTAGACGATCTCGATATTGTGCATTCTGCAGTAATCGATTTTGTTCTTTGTGGATTTAAGGAGATAATGATCGCCGATCGGGTTGTTGCACGGGCCGGGCTGGGAGCCTGTTACGAGCAGGATTCTAGGTTTTCCATTGACGTAATTGGGGAAACCTCGATTTTGCCGGAGCCATTTCTGCCTTGATGAATCCCAGTCGATGATTTTGGGGCCTAATGTGTAGGTTCTGTTGGTTAGGGTTACGGATTCGGATTCGGAGTCGTCGTTTTCGCCGGATCGGATTTCGGCGACGATCCGATCCGTTTCCTCTGCCACGTGGCGGGGGATTGTGGTTGATTCGGAGGGGAAGGAGATCAGTGAGATGCCGATTGTGCCCCGCAAGACGAGGATGGTGATGATGCCGCATAGAATCGTGAGCTTGAGGTTGCCGCATTTTTGGCCGCCGTGGCGGCGGCGCCTCACGGCGGTGGCGGTGGTGGTGGGGAGTGCGCCGGCGGTGGAGGATATCCTCTTCAGGCCCATGTACGTAGTGCGCCCGTCAAATTATTGTCCTGGAATGCAAGCGATTCTGCAGTGTGTGTTTTTGGAATTTGGGAATTTGGAGATGAAGAATTGAAGATGATGAACAGATCGTGAATTATGTGCATGGAGCAAAATTGAAATCATGAAATAAAGGTAGTACGAAAACCCCCTAAACTTAGATTAAATTACGAAAAATACCATCAGCTATATGTAATTATCAAAATTCCCGACGTTTGTTCCAATGTTACACCAAGCCTCTTCAAATGTGAGTTTCATGAAATCTTTTTTATTACAGGGAATATTTCTCGAAAAATGTCGATTCTACCCTTGCAGACATAACATTTCTTTATGCTAGCTACTTTTGGAGATAGATATTACCCGCTTGGGCCTTTAAACGAAATATTTATTCTTCAGATAATGGCTTATTTCTCAGTTTTTTAGTATCACTATTATCCATTTGAGGGTAATTTTTACCTTTAAAAAAATAGTATAAAAGAAATTTCACGTATGCAGGGGTATAATTGTCATTTTTTGAAAAATATTCCCTACAAAAAGATTTCGTTAAAAATTATACCGTAAGGGGTTGGTGTAAGACGGAAATAAACATTGACGGTATTTTAGTAAAAGAATAGGTTGTGGTGTTTTTCAGAATTTTGCTTAAATTTATATTTTTTTTTCCGCAATTTACCGTTAAAAAGAAATTAGTAAAATGAAGCTATTTTTTACCTTTAAAAAGTAGCATAAAAGAAATTCTATGTCTGCAGGGGTATAATTGACATTTTTCAAAAAATATTCCCCGAACTCAAAAAAATTCTGATTACACTGTAAGGGATTGATGTAAGCTGGAAACAAATGTTGGGGGTATTTTAATATTACAGATAAATTGTGGTGTTTTTCATAATTTTACCTAAATTCATGATTTTTTTCCTCCTAATTTATCCTTAAAGAAGTTAGTAAATGAGGATATAACAGTAAAAAGTCATGTATAACGACATTAATACATTATTCATTAATGTATCCCTTAATTACCTAATTAAATTAAAAGAAAATGAACAATTTTCAAAATTTACAATCGATTTCTATTGTAGAAACTAATAGCAAGTTTTTCCATGAAGTAATAAATAATTAGGTATTAGCAATAAATAACCTTTATTTCACACAAGAAAAGAAGTGACAAAAACGAAAAAGGAAAAATAAAAATAAAAAATGTAAAGAGTTTAAGGTTTCTAGACGAGGGCACGACGTCGTTCAGTTGACCTTTCTCTTTTTCCTCACCCCCTTTCCTTTTTAATTTTTTATTTATTTTTAATTTCTTTCAATCATATATTCATATTCTCTCTCCACCTTTTTTTCCTAATTTTTCATCCATTTTTTTTTCTTTCTATTCTTTAGCAACTGGTTACTCTTTGCTAGCAGTCAAACTGTGAATCTACCGGCGGTTTATTTCTCTAATATCACCGCCGGGAACCGTAATTTCGTCCGTCAAAGCCACGGATCTGCACTTGACTTGTCTTCTCTGCTCGCCGGAGGTGAGTTTATGTTCAATTGTTTATCCGATTTTTCCGCTGCTGATTCTCTATGAAGATATCTGATTTGAGTATCGCATTCATGATAGTATAATGTTTAGAAACTCGGGTGTAGCTGTTGATTCTTCACTGGTTTTTGTTACTGCATTGTGTGGTTGGAAAATTGAAGTAACAGTAATAATAAGTCATGAGGTTTGCCTTGGAATTTGGGTGATTTTGTTATAGGTGTTTTTTTCCGGGCGATGGCTAGATAATGTCACTGTGACAGTTAGTAATTGTGGCTAAAGTGTAATCAAGGTTAAGACGCAAATTTGTGTTGCGATTCGGTGTATTAAGTTTTGATTCGAGTTGTAATATTGTTTAGGGTGTTTGAACCACGGATTTGGTAGTATTAGACTGAATTTGGCTGTCGATGTTCGTTTCCTAAGTTGGATTTCAGTGGAAGTCGATCATCATTTGCTACTGATTGTATAGTTCCAATCTCATCCTCGAGTTACCTGCCATGATTAGTAGTGAATCAACTTGTATTGATATCTTTGGGGAGATCTGTAGCAATTTATTTCTGAGTTTGGATTGGTTTTCTGATTATGCAATTGCTGAATGTTTATTTATTTTATCCTACTGCTGTAATACTATTCCTGAAAATTTCATGGTGAAAGCATATGTACCAAGTGTAGAAATTAGTCCAGTAGCTAGTAGAGCATGACGGGAACTGTATCTTAGCATGACATTTTGCTGTAGCAAGCAATGAAGTCCCGATGATAGAGGATTATAGCAGCGTTGTTGCTGGGCTTCATTTTTTCTTGCACCCTTAAGTCTGATCCTTAATACTGTATAATAGAGTCAATAGGCCAGATCTAAAACCCATTATTTTATGAATGGAGAATATATATACGCAGAATCACCCACCATTGTTTGTACTACTTTTATGCTTTTCCTGTATTTTCTGAAAGGGTGTTATTTGACTGTAGAACCTCATTGTTACAATGCTAATACATATACTTTTCATGATTTTTTTCTAGATTGCCGTGGTCCCTTAAAAAGTATTTCTGATTACCAGTTGAAGCTGAAAGTTTGTCCAAGTTAGTTACCGATGGGTCGTTTAAGGCTACAATCTAGTATCAATGCAATTGAAGAAGAACCAGAAGAATGTGAGGCTACTTCTTCCAATAAGTCCGCATTGGGATGTATGATTAATTCAGAGATAGGAGCTGTGCTTGCGGTCATGAGGAGAAATGTGAGATGGGGAGGTCGTTATGTATCGGGTGATGACCAGTTGGAGCACACTCTCATTCAATCTCTTAAAACATTGAGAAGACAAATATTTTCATGGCAGCACGAGTGGCAATCCGTCAACCCTTCCTTGTATCTCCAGCCATTTCTTGATGTAATTCGGTCAGATGAAACAGGTGCTCCAATTACCGGTGTTGCATTGTCGTCTATTTACAAGATTTTGACTCTTGATGTGCTGGATGTAAATACTGTCAACGTTGATGATGCCATGCATCTGGTAGTTGATGCTGTTACCTGCTGCAGATTCGAGGTAACTGACCCTGCATCTGAAGAAGTTGTATTGACCAAGATACTTCAGGTTCTTTTGGCTTGCATGAAAAGTAAAGCATCAGTTATGTTGAGTAATCAGCATGTTTGTACCATTGTAAACACTTGCTTCCGAGTCGTTCATCAAGCTGGAAGTAAAGGTGAACTATTACAGCGAATAGCTCGCCACACAATGCATGAACTTGTCAGATGCATTTTTTTGCACCTTCCAGATGTTGACAACACAGAACAGTCACTGGTTAAAGGAGGCAGTTCAGTGAAAAATGAGGTACGTATCAGCTTTTTCTTGATTATGATTTTCTGGAAGTCTAGATTCTGTTGGTTCCATTAAGAAGAAGTAGGAGAATTTTTTAGATAACTTGATGATGAACCTTTAATGTTTATGTTCGACTCCCAAAGCGAGAGACTCTAGGTACCACCTTAAGGGTTAAGAACCTCACATTTTCTATGCTCATCTATTTGTGTGCTTGCATGTGAGTGCGGTCTCGAAGAAGATCAACTGATTAGGGTTTCTGGATCAGATTATTCTTCGTAGTTTCGCATTTGGTAAAACAATCATTGGACTAGTTGATTTTTTTCTGTAATTTGCAAACATCAAAGTGCATGTGTGTTCAAGACACAACTAAAACCATGCTGGACCAGCATTGTCAATATGCATATAGGACTTCATGTGGAATTTGTACTCATTCTTTCTTTATTTGTTTTCTTCCTTTACTTTACATTCTTCACTTTTTGTGCAGAATGCTGGTTTGGATACGGATTATAACTTCAGCGGTAAATCAGAAAATGGCAGTGGAGCTTCTGAATTTGATGGCCAACTCTCATCTGGCATTTATAATTCTGCTTCATCTGGCCTCATTGGTGGTATGATGGATGAAAGTATTCCCAGGAATGATAACGGGAAGGATGCAGTTCCTTATGATCTGCATTTAATGACAGAACCTTATGGTGTGCCCTGCATGGTTGAAATATTTCATTTTCTCTGTTCATTGCTAAACGTTGTTGAGCATACAGGGATGGGTCTCAGAGCAAATTCTTTAACATTTGATGAAGATGTACCTCTTTTTGCCTTGGGTTTGATCAACTCAGCAATTGAATTAGGTGGCCCTGCTATCCGACATCATCCTAGATTATTGAGTTTGATACAGGACGAATTGTTCCGTAACCTCATGCAGTTTGGGTTGTCAATGAGTCCCTTGATTCTATCTATGGTCTGTAGCATTGTGCTCAACCTATATCAGCATTTGCGCACTGAGCTGAAGCTTCAGCTTGAAGCTTTCTTTTCCTGTGTGATCTTAAGACTTTCACAAAGTCGATTTGGAGCTTCGTACCAGCAGCAGGAGGTTGCAATGGAGGCTCTAGTTGATTTCTGTAGGCAGAAAACCTTCATGGTAGAAATGTACGCGAATTTGGATTGTGATATAACGTGTGGTAATGTGTTCGAAGAGCTTGCCAATTTATTGTCAAAGAGTGCTTTTCCTGTGAATTGCCCTTTGTCCAGCATGCATATTCTTGCGTTAGACGGTCTTATTGCTGTGATTCAGGGAATGGCTGAGAGGATAGGCAATGGATCAGTTGGTTTTGAACTAACGCCTGTGAATCTTCAGGAGTATACTCCGTTTTGGATGGTGAAATGTGAGAATTATGGTGATCCTGAACATTGGGTCCCTTTTGTTCGTAGAAGGAAGTACATCAAAAGAAGGTTGATGATTGGAGCTGATCACTTTAACCGAGATCCTAAGAAAGGGCTAGAATTTCTTCAAGGGACATATCTTTTGCCTGAGAAACTTGATCCACAGAGTGTTGCTTGCTTTTTCCGCTATACTGCTGGATTAGATAAAAATCTAGTTGGAGATTTTCTTGGAAATCATGATGAATTTTGCGTTCAGGTTCTGAATGAATTTGCTGGAACATTTGATTTCCAGGACATGAACCTGGATACCGCATTAAGGCTCTTTCTGGAGACTTTTCGACTACCTGGAGAATCTCAGAAGATACAAAGAGTGCTGGAGGCATTCTCAGGGAGATATTACGAGCAATCCCCACTGATTTTAGCCAATAGAGATGCTGCTCTTTTGTTGTCTTATTCCCTCATAATGCTTAACACGGATCAGCATAATGTACAGGTGAAGAAAAAGATGACCGAAGAGGATTTCATCAGGAATAATCGGCATATTAATGGAGGTAATGACCTCCCTCGCGATTTCCTGTCGGAGCTTTACTACTCAATATGCAAGAATGAGATTCGCACGACACCTGAACAAGGAGCTGGTTTCGCTGAAATGACTCCTAGCCGATGGATTGATTTGATGCACAAGTCCAGAAAAACTTCTCCGTACATCGTCTCCGATTCCAGAGCCTACCTCGACCATGACATGTTTGCAATCATGTCTGGTCCGACGATTGCCGCCATCTCTGTGGTGTTCGATCATGCAGAGTACGAGGATGTCTACCAAACATGCATCGACGGATTCTTGGCTGTTGCAAAGATATCTGCATGCCATCATCTCGAAGATGTTTTGGACGATCTTGTAGTGTCCCTGTGCAAGTTTACAACGTTGTTGAATCCCTCATCTGTGGAGGAGCCCGTTCTAGCCTTTGGCGATGATGCAAAAGCTAGAATGGCAACTGTTACGGTTTTCACTATCGCAAATAGATATGGAGATTTTATCCGTACTGGCTGGAGAAATATTCTGGACTGCATCTTGAGATTGCACAAGCTTGGCCTTCTACCTGCTCGTGTGGCCAGTGATGCAGCCGATGATTCGGAGTTGTCGTCTGATCCTGGTTCACATGGCAAGCCTCTCACAAACTCACTATCTTCCGCTCATATGCAATCTATCGGTACCCCTAGGCGGTCTTCGGGCCTGATGGGTCGGTTCAGTCAACTTCTTTCTCTAGATACTGAAGAGCCGAGATCTCAGCCCACTGAACAACAACTGGCTGCCCATCAACGCACACTCCAGACTATTCAGAAGTGCCATATTGACAGTATTTTCACTGAGAGCAAGTTCCTGCATGCCGATTCATTATTACAGCTTGCACGAGCACTCATATGGGCCGCTGGGCGACCGCAGAAGGGAAGCACCTCGCCTGAGGATGAGGACACTGCAGTTTTCTGCTTGGAATTGCTAATTGCAATTACATTGAACAACCGTGATAGAATTGGGCTTCTCTGGCAAGGTGTTTATGAGCACATAGCTAATATAGTTCAATCGACAGTAGTGGCTTGTGCTTTAGTCGAGAAGGCTGTTTTTGGACTTCTTCGTATTTGCCAGAGACTGCTTCCATACAAGGAGAACTTGGCAGATGAGCTTCTGAGATCGCTGCAGCTTGTTCTCAAGCTCGACGCACGAGTCGCCGATCAATACTGCGAGCAGATTACTCAGGAGGTCAGCCGATTAGTCAAAGCAAACGCAACACACATTCGTTCTCCAATGGGCTGGCGAACGATTGCTTCGTTACTCTCTATCACAGCTAGGCACCCGGATGCTTCTGAATCGGGATTCGAAGCCCTCACGTTCATAATGGCAGATGGGGCCCACCTTTCTCCAGCTAATTTCGTGCTCTGTGCAGATGCAGCGAGGCAATTTGCAGAGTCTCGTGTGGGGCAGACAGATAGATCGATCCAGTCTGTCGATCTTATGGCGGGGTCCGTTTCTTGTTTGGTGCGGTGGGCGCAAGATGCTAGGGAAGGTACGGCCGAAGCAGAAGCTGCGAAACTGTGTCAGGATATTGGGGAGATGTGGCTGAGGCTTGTCCAGGGTTTGAGGAAAGTTTGTCTGGATCAAAGAGAAGAAGTTAGAAACCACGCTCTTCTATCTCTACAAATGTGCTTAACCGGAGTAGATGAAATTCACCTCCCACTTGGCCTCTGGCCACAGTGTTTCGAAATGGTTATATTCACTATGCTCGACGACTTGGCTGAAATCGCACAGGGGAACCCTCAGACTCAAAAGGAATACAGAAACATAGAAGGGACACTCGTTCTTGCACTGAAGCTGCTAACGAAAGTGTTCCTACATTTACTCAACGAGCTGTCACAGTTATCGAGCTTCTGCAAACTGTGGCGTAACGTGATTGGTCGGATGGAGAAGTATATGAAGCTGAAGGTTAAAAGGGGTGAGAAGCTTCTGGAATTAATCCCCGAGCTTCTAAAGAACACACTTCTTGTTATGAAGACAAAGGGAGTGCTCGTTCCGACAAGTACTCTCGGGGGAGACAACGTGTGGGAACAAACATGGCTGCATGTGAATAAGATATTTCCATCTCTACAATCGGAAGTGTTCCCTAATCTAGATTCGGAGCCTTTACAGTCTAGCCCCGTTTTGGGCGAATCTGCTTCCGATCAAACCAACTAGCATAATGTTTATCGCAACGTGACCCCTTCTTTCCATTTTCTTTTTTTCGCTTCGGTGAAAAAATTTACCACATTTGTACCGTTTAGATTAGTGGTGTTAATTCGGTAGGGTTGAGATTTTCGAATATGTAATCTTTTAACTGAGTGCTTTTATGGTGTAGGATTTGGCTTCGATTTTTGTCTTCCGAAAAATACGAAGACTGGCTTGAATTTGTGATGGAGGAAGTTGAGCATCTTCTTTCCAGAGACTGGTGGCTTATATTTGTACAGAATGTTAATTTTTCTAACTCCTTTTGATTTTTTCTGAGAGTATTGTAGTAGTTTGCCTGAAGACATTTGTTCTGATATTGCATTTGGTCTGATATTTGTACCAGAAACCTCTCCGATAGTGGTGTTTGGTGGGAGTCGGGGTTCGAATCCCTTCGGGTGCGTGCGTTGTAGCCTGTAGGCCATATTATAAGGCCAATTTGAAAAAAAAATATATATAATAAATTATTTACATTAAAAAAATTAATAAATAAAATTACACGGACTTTTCTCCTGACCAGCAGAAATATCTCATTGTTTTTATACATAACAAGAAAATTTCACCTTATTGTAGGAGTGAATTGCTATTACTTAGAAGTTTAAGGGTCTAATAGCAAAACAACTTTGTCCTTCCTATTCTATTTCTTCCCCTCTCTCGATTTACGCAATCAATCTTTCGTCCAAATTCAGTCCAATATATATTTTCTCTCTCCACTCTCTCACCTGTGATCTGAGTCAACTCGCTCGTTAATTTTGCGGACTCACGTATTTCAGGTATAATTTATACGAGAAGTTCCGGCGCATGTATGTATGTATATACGTATAGAAGTTTTTTGATTCGGTCAATTTTATCCTCAGATTTCGTGAAGTAGAATTAATTAGCCTTTTGATCTTCTTTCTCTGATTATTTGTGCATATGTATTTGAAGTGAAGAGTGGTGGCGGAGGAAAGATGAGTCTGGTTTATGAAGGATATGAAAGGCAGTACTGTGAGCTGTCTGCAAATTTGTCGAGAAAATGCAATTCTGCTGCTGTTCTTCCTGATGGAGGTTAGTGTTAAGTAATTGAATGTTTTCTCTTCCTAAATTAAAATATATGGTTATTTGATTCTGGTCAGTTGTATATTGTTGATATTCTTCTGCAGAAAGGGGGTAATTTTTTATTTATTTTTTAATTTTGTTTTCTGTGTTCTGTTTGTGATGTTGCTGAGGTTAGGGTTTAGTTTGTGTAAGTTATTGGCATCTTTTTCTGGATAGAGATTAGTTGAAATGGAATAGTTTACAGAGTGGGCTTTTTGTTCTGTTTGGGCACGATTTTTTTTTGAAATGATAGGATTTTGCACTTGAGTGATTGATGCTATGTTGGTGAAGTAAAGGAGGGATGGTGTTTCTCAATTAAGTTTATTTTGATCTGTAGATTTATATTTATGATTTTGTCAGAGTATATGGGTCTGGATTTTTTGAATAGTTGGCATCGTGGAAAGAAATTAGTTGAAACCGCATAATAGAAGATGGTTATCTTCCGACTAGGCAAATAAAAATCATCATAAAGTATGATGACACGAGTTTTCTGTTGTTTTTTGTTTTTCTTTTTCTGTTCCGAGTATGTGTGTTGTGGAGTGATGCACGATGAACTCAACATTCTTCTTCTGAATAACTCAAACACATCATCTTTGTTATGCTCTTATAGGCATAGCTATGGATGAATTAAATATGAGAAATATAATATGAGGCTCATGTATATCTATGTCATGATATCTTCCGAGTGATAATCCAAACAGTCAAATTTGTTTGCTAGATTTTATTTTTTATTTCCAAGAAACAGATGAAGAATCCTCCATCTATGGGCCATTGATTAATTCAACACGTATTTTTTTGCTAAATGATCTGAGTCTATATTGTTTGTCCGTAATCATATTTTTGTCATTCGGGTTTGATCTGTTTGTGAACTGGTGCTTATGTTGTGGTGTTCTGCAGAGAAAAAGAAACAAGAAGTTTCTGTAATACAAGCAGGATTGGACGATGCTGATGTTCTGGTAATGCACAACCTCTAACTTCAGTTGCTACACAATTGCAATTTTGTTGATTCTCAATCTTAGATAAATATCTGATTTTTGTATTTACTAGATTCGGAAAATGGATCTCGAGGCTAGAAGTTTGCAGCCAAGTGTGAAAGCCACTTTACTTGCTAAGCTTAGGGAATATAAATCTGATCTGAATAAGTTGAAAAGAGAAGTGAAGAAACTGACTATGCCTAATTCCAATCAGCCCGCACATGAAGACTTAGAATCTGGAATGGCTGGTGCCCATGAGGTATGCCCGGATTGCCTTTCCTTGACGTTTTTTTCCTTTCAATTAATCGACATAGTTTATACGTAAGTGGAAACTTGCAGTTGAATTTTGCTGGGATTGGATAAATTAGCTGTGCATTTAATAGTGTTGCCTATACTCATTTTAATGTAGAACACACACACATGCACATTTAAATATCTAGGGATGTGCCTTTATACACACTTATATATTATGTAAACTAGATTTATCTATCGTACATGGATTGGGTTTTTAACCTATGTTAATGGGAAGGTTAAAATAATTAATTAGGAAGGATGATGCATTTGCTTATCTACCGCTAGTCGCGTTAATTCGTCTCATATTTATATTTGTCACCTAAAATTGGAATCATTTGTTGTTTTATGTTTACTCTATTTCTCAACCTCTTTCTTGTTTCCCAACATTATACATCTGTGTATACGATATTTTCTCTGCAAACCCTGCTGCCCTGCATAGCATTTCTCTTAAATAACTGTATGTGTTTTTAATACCAAATAATATCAATAGGCGAATGCAAATCAAAGGGATAGATTGACGATGTCAACTGAGAGGCTGAACCAATCGAGTGACAGAATAAGGGAGAGTCGGAGAACTGCACTGGAAACAGAAGAGCTTGGAGTGTCAATCCTTGAAGATTTGCAGCAGCAACGTGAAACTCTCTTACATTCTCACAAGAAGGCATGTTCTAACCCTCAATTTATCATTACATCTTTAATAATGTGGTCTTTCCTAGTATTGTTGGTTGGTGTAGAGGTTGATTTTGGTGTGATTTGCTTTTTCTATTTGCAGCTTTACGATGTGGACAGCGCCATTGATAGGAGTAAAAAGGTATTGACTTCAATGTCTCGAAGGATTAGCAGGAATAAGTGGATCGTCGGCGCTGTAATTGCTGCACTTATCCTGGCGATTATTGTCGTCATGTACTTCAAATTTTTTCACTGATTTGCAAAACTTGATTATGTGTGTACCCTTATTATACCATGTGTCTTGAGATGTGATTGCTCGTGTATTGTTTGAAAACGATGTTGTACAGCATGATTGTTCCTTTAAATGATTTTAATTCAAGTTGCTATGATACACGTCGCCTTTTTCTAGTTTCCTCAAATTTCGGGTTTGGTCCAAAGTTCAAGTTTTGGGCTTGGCTTACTATTGCATGATGGTTGTAGATAAAAAGATGAAAATTAGCCTAGCCAACTGGAGCTAGAGTGATGAACTTGACCATAGATTAAACTTTAAGTTCACGTTCAGTTTCGTGGATTGGATTTATTTAGATTTGAAGTATTTTGATCAACTAATCAAAGTGGAGCTGAGTTTGAAGATCAGTCCACGTGGAGGAATAGGAAGGAGCTGATTGAAGTCAGCTGAAAGCCTGAGGTGCAGTGGATAATTAACTCCCCTAACTAATATTGTGATGAGGTGGCGACTGTTGATTGGAGTACTTTGTCGTGTTTGACGACGTAGATCATTTTTCAAGGCCGGACCACTTAATCCATGTTGCCTTCACTATTTTATGCAACTGCAACTGCAACTGCAACTGTTCAGGTTAGGGGTTTCAGTGCATGGTTTGTGTTTGATCTATTGCCCACTGTTTGAATTGAATTGTTTGTTGTGATATTGGATTGAATTTGACAAATTGTACAACAAGATTAGATTAAAATTGGATTGATTAATTTTCTGGCTAATTAACTCTTAATCAGACTCACTGGAATGTGAGAATAGAGACGTGGTGCAAAATAGATAAAAAAAGAAAAACCACTGTGAAATATTATAACTTGTTAAATCAACTGAAATGAAATAGTGCTTCTACTTTGTCCTAAAATAAAAACAAAGTAAAATCGAAAAATCAACTGAAAATAAATTCAACTTAACTTCTACTTTAGCCTAAAAATAAAATAAAACTCGAAACAAAGCAACTAGATTAATTTGGTGGTGGAAAGAAGATCTCCTCAGCCTTCCTCTTGGAGGTGAACTTCTCCTCCACATCCGCCGGAACATTAAAAGCCGCCTGCAGAACTTCCGGCGACAGCGCCTTCCAAACCGATGTCCTTCCGGCCAAATGAGTGAAAATAGGGCTGCAATTATCACAACAACACACACATTAAAAAAATTACAACAAAAGTTAAATACAATAGAGAATCAAACAGTGATGAGAATAGAACTTACTTGGGAGTAGTGATAATGGAGAACCAATCCATACCCTCAGGATCAGCAATTTTCGAGACAACAAAGAACCTCGGCACGATGAATAGATTGCCAGCCTTAAGCCTTGTCTCGAGCACACGTTTCCCATCTACACCAACAACTTGCACACGGCCGCTTCCCCTTACAATGTAAGTGACCTGCAGAGCAGAGTCACACGAGAAACCTGGAGAGCACATTGCACTTCCGTCGAGCCTAACAAGATCTGCACCGAGACCAACTTCACCCACCAATGGTAGATTCTTGGTGTTGAGAACCACCACTTTTCCGCCATTCTTGATATCCACATCCAACGGAGCTTCCTCGCAGTTCAACGCCATTCCGTTGTAGTGCTCAATTTTGGGCTCTGGCATTTTGAAGGTGGAGTCGAGCTTGACTATCCCGTTCCCTGATTGGCTGCTGACGAGTGTCTTGACGGTGCTCTCTTCCAAGTCCCATGCCCTGCCGACAAACTCCGTCGAGAATCCGGTGAAGATTCCGTTGGGGCCGGTCAGGAAGAAGTCGGTGAAGGAGCCAGATTTGTGGGCTTTTGAGGTGTCGCCGAGGAAGAGGATGACTAGCTCTGTGTCTTCCTTGTTGTACCACCATGTCACTACTCCGAATGGGAGGGCTATGGCGTCTCCCTTCTTGATTGGGAGCACCTTTTCTTCCTTTTCGGGGAGGACTATACCTGCCACTCCGCTGCCTGTATAACAATTTCAAAAATTCAATTCATTAAACAACTTGTATACGTCAATTTGCAAGAACTATTTCATCATATCATACAACAAGGCAATGAAATCATGGAATGAAAACAACTGAAATCATTAGAGCACGTATAAATTGTTGGCGAGCATCATTATTAAATATTAAATTATTAATAGATAAGGTTTTGGCCAGTTCCTAATTACTTTATTTTCATATCTCTGTCAACTTTCTAGCAAAAGAGGCGCGAATAAATTCATTATTCACGGTGAAAACAAAAGGCATCAAAAAAATTTATGCGATCATGGAATTCAAAATTTTGGATTCATGATATTTATTTAATTAGAAAACAACGCGTGAAAACATAGATTTAAAAATAAAATTAAAAAAAGAAGGATTTAATTTATCAGAGCAATCAAAGCAGAAAATTAATAATAGGTAGTGGAAGATGAAGATCTGATCAAATTCGTTATCGAATAGTAAATAATCGAAAAAAGACGATCTGAATTCTGAAAAAAATATATATGTATACCTTGAAGCACATAAGCAACCTTAGCAGAATCGGAGTATCGAGGCAGAGCAAAGCCGTTCTTCTCAAGGGCGAGCTTTCCGGCGCCGATGTTGCCTTCGCGGAGCATGGGAAGCTCGTTAGGGCACCACGCGTAGTACGCGCCACCATCTCCTCCGTACAGCTTCTTCGCCAACTGTGGTGTCAAATCAAGCTCCATCTCTCTCTCTCTCTCTAAAACCTAACACGAGAATTAATGCGAATTGAATTGAGTGAATACTGAGAATTGCCAACTTTTTATGCCAAAAGTGAACGCATACCGCTGGTATTTATAGAGAGCAGATAGTGTTTGTAATCGAATAAAACTCGCTCTGCTGATATTGTGGATTAGGATTCTGTAACTTCTTATACACGTTGGGATTTGTTTAGAAACGTGTTTAATTGTTATTAATTGTGTAATTAAACACACACGTTTGAATAAAGTGGAAATCTCTTATTTATTTATTTATTATATTATTTAAATTTAATTCATGATATATATTTTGTAATACTTGTTTTATAAGTATATCCAATCTAATTATACAATTGAGTCCTGATCCGAATAGGATTAGAGTAATTTAATCTTGTGTAATCTTATTATCTATATCCAATTCTACAATTTGATCCGAATAAGATTACAATATGATTTTATCTTGTGTGATCTGATTATCTGAAATCAAGCGAATTATGTTACGTGATTCGATTACGTTTTCCACGTGGGATTATAATACAATTTCAGAAAAAATCCAATATAACTTTCTGCAGGGATATTGCTAACAGAATCCTAATCCTAATCTTAATCCTAATTGTGTTTCAGAACAAACACTCATTCTTCTTCTCTATAAATACCAACTCCACGCCCTCCCTTTGTATAACAATTAACAAGCATTATATTCAGTCGTTCGAATTTGTCTTTTTTTTTTTTTTTTTTTCTTTTTAGATATTTAGTTAGAGAGAGATGGAGCTTGATTTGACACCGCAATTGGCTAAAAAGCTGTACGGAGGAGATGGTGGCGCGTACTACGCGTGGTGCCCTAACGAGCTTCCCATGCTCCGCGAAGGCAACATCGGCGCCGGAAAGCTCGCCCTTGAGAAGAACGGCTTTGCTCTGCCTCGATACTCCGATTCTGCTAAGGTTGCTTATGTGCTTCAAGGTATATATATTTTCAGAATTCAGATCGTCTTTGTTTCGATTATTTACTACTCGAGAACGAATTTGATCAGATCTTCATCTTCTACCTATTGTTAATTTCTGATTTGATTGCTTTGATAAATCAGTTTTTTTTTTTTTTTTTTTTTTTGAATCTGTGTTTTCACACGTTGTTTTCTAATTGAATAAATATCATGAATCCAAAAACTTGAATTCCATGATCGCATAAAAGTTTTGATGCTTTTATCTTCACCATGAATAAATGAATTTATTCGCGCCTCTTTTGCTAGAGTTGACAGCAATATGAAATTAAAGTAATTAGGAATTTCGGTCAAACCTTATCTATTAATAATGCTCGCCAACAATTTATACGTGCTTTAGTGATTTCAGTTGTTTCCATTCCATGATTTCATTGCTCACTGCATCATGGTGGCACAATTCTTTCAAATCGATGCACACAAGTTGTTTGATGAATTGATTTTTTGAAATTGTTATAGGCAATGGAGTTGCTGGTATAGTCCTCCCCGAAAAGGAAGAAAAGGTGCTCCCAATCAAGAAGGGAGACGCCATAGCCCTACCTTTCGGAGTAGTCACCTGGTGGTACAACAAGGAAGAAACCGAGCTAGTCATCCTCTTCCTCGGCGACACCTCAAAAGCCCACAAATCCGGCTCCTTCACCGACTTCTTCCTAACCGGCCCCAACGGAATCTTCACTGGATTCTCAACTGAGTTCGTCGGCAGGGCATGGGACCTGGAAGAGAGCACTGTCAAGACACTCGTCGGCAGCCAATCAGGGAACGGGATAGTCAAGCTCGACTCCACCTTCAAAATGCCAGAGCCCAAAATTGAGCACTACAACGGAATGGCATTGAACTGCGAGGAAGCTCCGTTGGATGTGGACATCAAGAATGGCGGCAAAGTGGTGGTTCTCAACACCAAGAATCTACCATTGGTGGGAGAAGTTGGGCTCGGTGCAGATCTTGTTAGGCTCGATGGAAGTGCAATGTGCTCTCCAGGTTTCTCGTGTGACTCTGCTCTGCAGGTGACTTACATTGTAAGGGGAAGTGGCCGTGTGCAAGTTGTTGGCGTAGATGGGAAACGTGTGCTCGAGACGAGGCTTAAGGCTGGCAATCTATTCATCGTGCCGAGGTTCTTTGTTGTCTCGAAGATTGCTGATCCTGAGGGTATGGATTGGTTCTCCATTATCACTACCCCCAAGTAAGTTCTAATCTATTTAATTTTTAAGTGTTTTTATTTTTTTTTTGCTTTAAATATTTTTGTAATGTGTGTGTTGTTGTGATAATTGCAGCCCTATTTTCACTCATTTGGCCGGACGGACATCGGTTTGGAAGGCGCTGTCGCCGGAAGTTCTGCAGGCGGCTTTTAATGTTCCGGCGGATGTGGAGGAGAAGTTCACCTCCAAGAGGAAGGCTGAGGAGATCTTCTTCCCACCACCAAATTAATCTAGTTGCTTTATTTCGAGTTTAGTTTTGGTTTTATTTTTAGGACAAATTAGAAGTACTATTAGGCTAGTTTCTTTTCAGTTGATTTTTGGAGTTTACTTTGGTTTTATTTTAGTTTAATTTCTTTTCAGTTGCTACTCAGTTAATAAAATAAATAATAAAACAATATTTAGAAAGAATTTATGATTTTTTTTTTTTGTTAATTCATAATTGTATCTGTACTACTACTATTTATTAATGAAAAAAATGGAAAATAAAAAATCCCAATTTTTGAAATTCAATTATAAATTTTATTCTAAAATTATTGGAATTTTTTTATATCAAAATGGAAATAATTAATAGAAATCAATTTTTTTTTTAATTGAAATATTAAAAATAGAAAAAAAAAGAAGAAACAAAATTGCTTACAAGTGTCAATTTCCACAGTGAGCAAATCCCATTCCTCTTACATTCGGTACTCTTTTAATCGGATCCCAACTTGACCCGACCCGACCCGACCCGGCACAGGCCAAAAAAAATCTCAACTCTAAAGATCCATTTGCAAGCATCTCAACTTCCGTCTTCCTCCCTCCAACCACCACCTGCAAATTCCCTGAAGTATACATACAAGTAATTGTAAGTACATAGAGAGAGAAATTTGTTAACATAGAAAGAATTGTAGAGAGAGAGAACACGACTCATGGATTCCCTGTCACCGGTATCACCATCTATTGTGCTTCCCCTCGGCCGCTGCCACCTCCACCATCGCCGGCGAAAATCGGGCGTATCGTTCACACGCATCAAATCTCTCTCCAAAATTCGTATTTCTAATGATTTTTTCGGGAGAAAGCAGCATACGAGATTTCACTGCAGATTGAGCGGAGGAGATGAAAAGGAGGAAGGTGAAAATGATCGAAGAGACGAGGAATTGGAGAGAGCCCTACGGATGGACGGCGCGATCCCTGGGACATCCGACGCGTTCGTTGAGCAAGTTTCTTCACGCGCGTACGGCATGAGGAGGCATCTTCAGCAGACCTTTGAAAGCAGTAGCTACGATGGTACGAACTTTCCCCTTTGGCAATTTGTTGTTCGGTACTTCAATTAGCTGAGGCATCGATCATAACTTAGAATTTGTGCTGTGTGATTCTGGAAGAAGAGAAATTGCATAGTTTCAACATTTTTTGGTAAATAATCAATTCGTTTCTTAAAATGGTGATTTTTGTAAGCTCAGTGGAAATAATTGGGGATTTTGGCATAATATTCGTGGGGGGTAAATGGTGATGATGATTGATGCCGTTACCTTCAATTTATTGTGCTTGTTAATACATATTGATTTATCCAATTCCTTGTACACTAGATAGAGTTTATGTGCTACATATACGTTTTCTACCGACGAAACTCTCATTAGGCCTTACGATTTTCCCTAAATCTTGTGGTTGTGCGATCGAAAATTCAGTATTGGAGGCAAACCCTTGGAGAGAGACTTCAAAATCGGTTTATGTTCTGACTCACCAGGAAAACCAGCTGTGTACAATGAAAACCCGTAGAAATCGCAGGTGATTCAAGTTTCTGTTCTGCTCGCCTCTTTTCTCTGCATGAGACCAGTTGATCAGGGTTTATTCTTAATGCAGTGAAGTTGAAAAGGAGCTCGGGCTTCTTTTTTCTAAAGGAGCAAAACGGAGAAACCAGGCAAAGCAGTCAGGAACCAGCACCGAATTTCAGATGCTTGTCGAGGACGTTCGAGAGGGTGTTCTTGTAAGTTTTCAACTAGCGTGAATTATCTGATGTTTGAGCTATTCTCATATTATCTCGAAGGTATATATGAACAATATATCTAAACTTACAATGACAGTGGTATCTAAGCCTCTGATTCAGCAATGCTGTCTTGAATTGAAATCCTCTAAGAGAGTTACACGATTTTTTTTGAGAGAATTGTTTGGGTCTCGTTTGGAAATTGATCAAAGAATAAATTATCCATATTTGCCATTTGAACTTACACAGTTGATTACAAAAATAAATTGCCCAACTAGTTTAGCAGTATTAAATCTTAGAAGGAAGATAGTAAAATAGTTATCAACTCTGTAAGACTTCTCAGTGATCTACTTTGATGTGCTAGCGTATTTTTGTTGACGATAATCTACTTCACACTAGTGTTTAAACTAGTGGTATTACTGCCTGAAAGCTCAGCAAAACATTAATTAATTATGTCAGTTTGTTTTGTATTTATCAATTGAAAATCTGGATTGTAGAAGAGAAGCATTACAGAAAGTACACCTCTATGTCTCTATGTATTCACGATGCTCAAGTAACTATTCGATAAAATGAATGCATCAACTTAAAATCTCAATACTTCTTGTGCACCTAAGATTCGATGAAAAAAAAAAAGTGAAAATGGAAAACAAACACTGGAAATCAAATTTAAGCATATTTCTCTCTCTCTCTCAGAGAAATGAGTACTGGTTTAGGAAATAAACAAATAAATTGTCCACAATTATATACTTGCTGTTTTCTTGGCCATTTCCTTTAAAAGCAAATAACAGAAAGGTCTTCGTTCATGGTTTCTTTCAATTAAATTATTCTATACGAGTCATATCACATGTAGGTATTTGAAGATGAAAATGAAGCTGCTAGATACTGCGATTTGCTTCAAGGAGGAGGTCAAGCTTGTGAAGGTGTTGCAGAGATAGACGCATCATCCGTAAGCAGCACGATTTCACACCATGTTACGACTATTTTTTCCATTGTTAACCAATGTATATGTTATATGTTTACAGGTATTTGATCTGTGTCAAAAGAATAGGGCGCTCGCAGTTTTATTCCGAAGGGGTCGAACACCTCCTCAACCTGAAAATCTTAAGCTTAATTTAAGGGCACGCAAACGCTCTCTTGAAGACCAGCAAGACCTGATGTGACTACAAATGGAACTTCTGGTAATCTAAACATACCTGTAACTATATTGTCACTGTATTTATTCCAGCAATGATATAATACTGTATATATATATTTAAAGTTACATGTACTGCCTTAATATTTACATTCAACAAATTGATATATTTATAAGTATGAAGGCATCAAACTGAATATTCGGTTGGAATATTACAAGTATATAGATGGTGGTCTTGGACTGGTTCACATGAGAGAAGTCAACGACTATAAGACATCGTCGGCATGTTGAAGCCGCCATAGTTGATGATTTTGTGGAACTAATCCTCTGTGATTGCTACTTAGATAAGACCAAATACATCATGTATACATGAAGAGTTGAAGAAATAAAAATCTATTCACCAAAAAAAAAAAAAATGATCGAATGGTTGATGATTTGTGGAACTATTCCTCTGTGATTGCTACTTAGATAAGACAAACTACATCATGTATACATGAAGAGTTGAAGAAATAACAGGAAAACAAAAATTGATCGAATTTCGGACAACTAAAAAATAAAAGGAAACTAGGTGATAAACACCCGGTCCTCCTATTGCCGTTTACGTGGCAATAGGAAAGGCACCTGGTGTTTTCCACCGGGAGTAGGTTTGAGAAACCAGACCACCCCGTGGGTCTAATCTAATGATCCAATCAATTGTTGGGTTGGACCCAACTAAAGTGATTCGACATGTTAACCCTGATTCATAGTTGATATAAATATAGTTACATCTCTATAAATTAATACTCTATAAATTAATACAGTTTATATCAAATAAATTCTATTAATTTAGCAAAATTTTAAACGATATATTTTTGAACACATTATCCTCAGACCCACAATTGGGTCCGGAAAAAAAGTATTAATTAAACAAGGTTAAATTTTGTCGGGTATTAATTTGTCTAAATTCTACTATATTTCCACATACGATTAGTCAAAATCCTATGTAAATTCAAGCAATTTTCACCATGTGAATGAATACTGGACAACTTAACATCTAAGAAACTGAAACTCTCGTGCAATATTGAGTAAAAGTCTAATATAATCCTTCTTTGACTTCGTTAATCAAAATCTTTCCAAGTGTTATTTCATATTATAAACTCCTTCATACCTAGTTGACTTTCTATAGCCAATCATGTGCCAGATATACAAGGAAAAAAAAAACGTAAAAACGGTGCATATATTTGACACATAAAACGTTTTTATTTGACTTTTAAAATGTCAACGCATGCTAATCCATTTAGATTCAAATTGATAAACACAAACACAATATTTTGAAGATGTCAAAAAAAGAGTATGTATATATATATATATGGCCTCATGAATCATGTGCAAGTAACATTCAAATCGGCTCTAATTATTCATTAGGCAACCCATATTTAGAATTTTCAAGGAAAATATTTTATTTTATATATAAAAAAAAAAAAAGAAAAAAGATATTATTTTCTATTGTCCATTTTATTGGGGCGGCTATTTTTGCTGCATCTTTTAAGCAAAAAGCAGTTTTTCAGTTGCGCATTAAAGTGACGCGCGAGAGTCAGAAAAAAAAAACCGACGAACCGCCGAAAACCCGACGAATGAGCGGAAGCAGCGGAAGTTCGGGGTGCTCCGGCGGCGGAGACGCATCGTCGGCGGCGGAGAGGGAGAAGAAGAAGGAGAAGGCGCGTGTGAGCCGGACGTCTCTGATTCTGTGGCACGCCCACCAAAACGACGCCGTCGCGGTGAGAAAGCTCCTGGAGGAGGACCGCTCCCTGGTGCACGCTAGAGACTACGACAATCGGACTCCGCTCCACGTGGCGGCATTACACGGCTGGATCGACGTCGCCCAATGCCTCATCGAGTTCAAAGCTGACGTCAACGCTCAGGATCGATGGAAAAACACTGTAAGTTAATTGATTTTCCTCGTGATTTACACACATATGAAAAAACATGTGTTCATCTGTAATTCTGTTCGCTCTGATTAATTTTCTGAGTTCATCTGCCCATAATGTGTTTGTTGATTTGCTTGTGAGGATACATGTCTCTCCGTACATGATTTAGTCGAGTAAAAAGAATTCACCATACATGAAATATAAATATTTGATATGAGATTTTTTTGATGACCTTAATAAATATGCGAAAATAACAGCCATTAGCTGATGCTGAAGGAGCGAAAAGATCTCGGATGATCGAATTATTGAACTCGTATGGTGGGCTGTCTTATGTAAGTCTACGTTTTTTCGTTGCGCCTTTATAAGTTTTACTATAGTTTCTTAACTTTCTTCGAATATGGACGGGGATATATTGCAGGGCCAAAACGGAAGTCATTTTGAGCCAAGGCCGGTTCCACCCCCTTTACCGAAAAAGTGCGACTGGGAGATTGAGCCTGCTGAGCTGGACTTCTCAAGCTCGACTCTCATCGGCAAGGTCTGGGTTCATTTGCACAATACTACTTACTGTTGAATAAATCGGTTCCGTCTGTTTTTTATACAGTTCGAATTCACTAATTTCTAGATAACTACTTCCAATTTTCTTGTTGAAATGTAAAAAAAAGTTCGTCTTTGGTCTACTACCACTTTTGACTTTTTATTACCGAAAGCTTGTTGTTGTTGTTGTTGTTGTTGCTGATGACAGCTGATATTGCTTAGGGGTCTTTCGGGGAGATAGTAAAAGCTTGTTGGCGAGGAACACCTGTAGCTATCAAACGCATCCTTCCAAACCTTTCGGATGATAAACTGGTGATGTATGTTTCTCAAATTACGATGTCATTCTTACAAATGTGAAACTCCCGATTTATTCCTCGTCTGGAAAAATCAGATACCTTATCTGCTTGGTTGTATTACAGTCAGGACTTCAGGCACGAGGTCAATTTGCTAGTGAAGCTTCGTCATCCAAATATCGTCCAATTTCTAGGAGCTGTTACCGAAAGGAAGCCCTTAATGTTAATTACAGAGTACTTGAGAGGGGTGAGTAAAATTTCTCTCTATCCTCCTTGGAAAAATATATATCTTTTTTTCTTAAATAGGGATATTAATACTACCCGGGTTTCCCGTTTCCCGTTTTATTCCCTTTTTTTTATATAGGGTGATCTACATCAGCATTTGAAGGAAAAAGGGGCGCTCAATCCATCAACTGCGATCAATTTCGCACTAGATATCGCCAGGTTTGGAGTTCATATATCGTCTTTATTAAATATGCTTCTAAAAAGTTTGTCGTATGCTAATCTGATTCTCTTAACTTTTGTTTGGATAGGGGCATGGCTTATCTCCACAGTGAGCCAAATGTTGTAATACATAGAGATCTTAAACCAAGGTTAGTTAGTTGCTCCTACCCCTAGTCAAAAGGGTGATCTTCGTTTTGCCCTCTTAGCTCCCGAGTATTTTAAATAATGTATATTTGCAGGAATGTTCTTCTTGTCAACACAAGTGCAGACCATCTAAAAGTCGGGGATTTCGGGTTGAGCAAGCTTATTAGGGTACAACATTCTCACGATGTCTATAAAATGACCGGCGAGACTGGAAGCTGTAAGTAATTAGTAATTAAGAAATTTTGTATGTATTTTTGGGACTACTAATTGATATTTTAACACTAAATATTTGATCTCAAAAGACCGTTATATGGCGCCTGAGGTCTTCAGACACCGGAAATATGATAAGAAGGTTGATGTGTTCTCCTTTGCAATGATACTATACGAGGTAATTTTGATTTTTTTTCATAATAAAGAATAAATTGAAATTCTTGATAAAATTAAAATTAAAACTGAACTATTTGCAGATGCTTGAAGGTGAGCCACCGATGGCGAATTACGAACCATATGAAGCTGCCAGATATGTGTCCGAAGGACACAGACCAGCGTTTCGTGCAAAAAGTTTCACACCTGAATTGAAAGAGTATGTAGCTAATAACAGAATGTTTCGTTTTTAGCGAATTTATTAGTAAAATTAGACGACACAGGCATTTCATTTTATATATATATATATATATATATATATATATATATATATATATATATATATATATATATATATTATATATATATTCCAGTAACTAACTGTAGTGAAATTTGTATGCAGGTTAACAGATCAATGCTGGGCAGGGGACATGAATCAGAGACCTTCGTTCTTGGAGATATTGAAGAAACTCGAGAAAATAAAGGAAATGCTACCATCTGATAACCACTGGCACATATTTGCATCATAAACGGGAATCTGTCGAGTACAACGCATCACGATTCTTCGTTTTTATATTTTGTATCTGTGATTATAATGTTGTTAGGCTCCTCAGTTTCTTTAGTCCCACTTTAGTTACTTGGGAGTTCATCCATTTTCCAACCTTGATTTTTTTGATTACTTACTTTGTAATATGAAGAAGAAAAAAAAAAAAAGAAAAGTAAAATTGTTTGCCTCATGTATTGTGATTTGTTTTCATGGTCAAATTCCGGAAAAAAAACCCTCTTGTTTGGGTAAATTACAACGACTCCCCTCAACTATAAATCTTCTTACACGTTCATTCTTTTGGTGTCAAATGCAACAAAATATTATATGTTTGGGTAGATAACAACGATTCCCCTCAACTATGAATCTTCTTACACGTCCATTCTTTTGGTGTCAAATTCAACAGAATATTATAGATTATGTGGAATGTTATCTAATTTGTACTCGTTTTGTGAAAAAATGCAATTTCTGATACACCACAATCTGATATTTACAAGCCAAGAGACACATGTTATGATCATCTTATTTCAAAATGTGGAACTCAAATGGGATAAAACGGGTGCAAACTGAAGAACATTCCACAAAATTTAGAAGATTCTATTAAATTTAACACCGAAAAAATACACAGGTAAAAAAATTCATAATTAAGGAAAGTGGTTTTGACTTATAATTAATATATTATTTTTTTTTTTAATAATTTCACCTTACCTATGAGAGAGTGAACGTAATTCACCCAAATAATAAATAATAAGTTGTAGCTCCAAAAAACCAACTTGAATATCATCAAAGTCAAAAGCTTTTGCAGTAAAATAATATTTTGAAGACTTGGTAAATCATGTGTGGTTCTTTCAAATAAATTAAAAAAGAAAAAAAGAAGTCCGTATAAGTTGTTATAACAGAAGCTGAAGTTTTATTGGAACTCCATTCCCAACACTGAATCAAAAATGTAATTCATCTCTTACCTAGATAATTAATTAATTGTACAGTACTCTGAAGAAGAAAAAAAAAAAAAAAAGACGACGATGAGATAAAGTGGATTAAATAAGCTTCTTCTTCTCGAAGAAAGACTTCAAATGCCACAGCTGAAGTCCGGCCACAGACAGGCAAACGAGGATTGATAGGAAACCGAACCAGAACATTTTCGCATTAGTGGATCTGTTCAGTTGCTGCATTTCATCTTCCCTGAGATAAGCATTAACCAAATTGGCAAATTTAATATTAAATCTTATTTTTTTCAACCGAAAAAAAAAACATAGTAAATCAATTAAGATAAATTAATTTATGATTGATTACCTTCCACGTAGATAATACATCTCATCGTGAATGGATTGTACCGTGTCAAACATTTTCTTCAGCTCTAATTCCATTAACTGGTACAAGGGGAAAAAAAAGGTGGTCAAGTTAAAAGTGAAGAGAAAACGAAGGTATAAATTATAATCTAATTTGTGTATTCTTTGAGCACCCTCGATTTCTACGAGATAGCAGCCGTTTAATTCACAAATGGAAAATAGAGAGATACGAGAGAGACGGACTTCCTCTGAAAAGAGCATATCAAAATCGGTAAAAGAAAACTAGTTCTTGGAAAGTATTGGAGTAACTCGTTTCAAACTCGGCCACTATTCAAAGTTGATACCAACATTTACTGTGGCTTATAACCAACAAGAAACAGAACAACCCTACCAGTAACCTAAGGCCTCGTTTGGTTGCCAGAGTAAGATTAACCAAGATAAGATTAAATAATCTAATAAAACTCAATTGTATTATTGGACCTTGGAAGATCCAATAAAAACATGCCTACAAGGCAAGATAAGCCATGATAACATAATATTTGCGGGTCGACCCGGCAAGTTATTGGGGATACCAAACATCAAACAAAGTCCAATTATTTAGTAAATAATGGCTAATCTCCCCAACCAAACAAGGCCTAAAGGAAGGGATTTTAACGAATAAATTATAGAGGGAATTAGAGGTCGACTAACAAAAAAGATGGGAATTGCAGAGGACAACTTCAATTTATCACGTAGAACTAAAAATCCATTGTTGTTTTCTTCGATGTAATCCAATCTGCAAGATAGTGTATATTCGTATCACTTTGTCCAAAGTCGAAACCTTGAAAACTGTGAGATTATGCTAAAAAGATTATTTCTTTTTCCCGGGCTGGTTAAATAAATGTCATGTCGAATATTTTGTACTCGTCAATTCAGTCGTAGTTCTTGAAACGATGCCTATTACACTATCCATCAAATCATGGTGAATACAAATAATACACATCAAATCATCTTATGGCCTAGCCCTTTTCAGTTTTCTGATAAGTCGATAAGCTTAACAGAAAGGGGACAACATTATTGGCACATGTCGATACTCAACCGAAACGGGACATACATTATTGGCAGATATAACCAGAGAAGGATACACAAAATTAAAGCATATGCATACGAGCACTTACTTCAACGGAGCCTTTTTTGGCAACATTGGTCCAATCCTTGGCAGCAACACCCGATTTCCAGTCAAAGTCAATGGTAATACTAGTTGAAGGTTTGCTATCAGCAGCAAAAAAGCAAGCCATATAGTCACCCGCCTCCACTGCTTGAAACGCAAAATGGCCTTCTGTCACATGGTCTGAATAGTGATAGCTATTTCCGTATGCTGATGTCACCTATATGTTTCGACAAAATTCAAAGAAATTCACAATAGCAAAGACCACCAAAACTCTTTAAAACATTTTGCTGATAAATACAATACGAGAAAACGAAATTTGAACCCATTGACACACAAAACCGCATAAAAAGGGAGAAGTACAGAAAATCACACACACAAAATCAAACACACACACACACACATAGAAGGGGAGAAGTACACAAAATCACACACACACACATAAAAGGGGAGAAGTACACAAAATCACACACACACACACACATAAAAGGGGAGAAGTACACAAAATCACACACGCACACACACAAAATCACACACACAAAATCACACACACATACACACACACACACACACATATAAAAGGGGAGACTGGAACCCATTGACACACACACACAAAACCACACAAAATCAAAAATGAAATGCACTTATAAAATAATTGACGCATGCAGCAACAAATTGGTCCAGAAACCAAAGAACAGAATAAAATAAGATCAAAATCATATAAAAAAGATAAAGTAGATTCAAACTTCTCAGACAAACCCTTGGTCTCAAAATAAATAGCTGGCAAGCTCAATAGAAACTGATAGTCATTTAATCAATAGAAAAACGCATAAAAATTCGAACTTTGGTGAAAAAAAGAAATACCCGAACGGTGACTTTGTGGGAATCGGGAAGAGGGTGTCCGTCATTAGGGTTTACGATTTGGTATTTCCCGACGGTCATTGAATTGCTCTTGATATCCTCCGATATGCATTTCGTGTGACCCGATTCCAGATCGAATCGGATCGATTCAACCGGCGCCCATAACAAGAACACTGAAATTAAAACGAGGAAAATAATCCGTCTTTGGATTTGGGTAGCCATGTTAACGATCAACAAAACAATTATCGAATTTAGGGCTTCTAAGGTTTTCCTTTTTTTTTTTTTCTAAGGTTACTGAATTTAGGGCTTGCTGAAAGATGGATAATTTGTCTGAATTGAGATTAAAAACTCGATCTTTTTCCCCAAATTGGCAGTGTGCTTGTTATTTTTGTTTCATGGGAGATGAAATCACAAATGCAGGGAGTCAAAGAGATGCCTGCGTTTGCTGAAATCACTTCTTGTACTCTCTCAATTTGGTCCTTTTTTTCTTTTCTTTTAATTGAGTCATAATTGTGTAAGAAATGGTGGAGCGCCCAATCGTTTTATGCCACGTAGGATTTGAATCCCTTTGGGCTGAGGTGGGATCTATTTTCACAATTTATTGTAGTTAATATGATAAAAAAGGATTTAGAGTCCAAAATGAAGAAATATAAAACAAATAAAAGTAATTATTTGGTTATAGTTATCGCTATTAGTGGTGTGAACGAGCCGAGCTCGCCTCTTTTGGCAGGCTCAAACTCGTGCACGAGCTCGTCGAGTTCCTTATTTTCTGGCTCGAGCTTGAGCTCGTGTCAATTTTGTCGAGCTCGATCTCGACCCCCAAGCTCATTTTGTTTTTTATTTTTTTTGTTTTTTTTATATTTTTTAAATATTATTTTATTATTATTAAAACTTGATTTAAAAAGTTACAAATATTATTAAATTGTAATTATATATATAATTTTAATATTTTATTTATTTCTATAATATTTTATATTATTATACATTATTTAAATGAAAATAATATGTAAAAAAAAAAAAAGAATAAATAAGGCTTGCAAGCTCACGAACAACAAAAAACTGGCTCGACCTCGGCTCTTCAGAAAGCTCGAGCTCGAAAATTTGAGTTCGAGTTCGAGCTATTTTCGAGCCGGCTCATCGAGCTCACAAGTCGGCTCGTCTTGTTTACCACCCCTAATCGCCACCATTTAATTCTTTTATTTTTATTTTTGACCTTTTATGTTTGCAAAATAAAATGATCCAATACTGCTATAACTTGTAACTTGTATATTGAACCGTACCATTAAAATAATAGATATATTATTTATTTAATTATTAATTTAATCGGGCAATCTTTAGGGTTGTTCATGGGTCGGGTCGGTTGAATATCGGCCCGATCCGACCAACCGACTATTGCAAAAATGTAAAACCATTATCGGCCCGACTATTATGGGTCGGGTAACGGTTGGCAACCGACTTTGTCGGTTGCCGAAATAGTTCGGTTCCAAATTATCGGCCACAGTAAATTTAAAAAAAAAAAAAAAATTAGATTTTTTGCTTAGCCTGAATAAAATTCATCACCTAACAATTATAAAACTACATCCCAAAATCAAGTTTCAACATGTATCTCAAATTACAGACTTCAAATTCAAAAAACAATACAAAATACAAAAATATAAAAAAAAAAATCCAGCAATAAAAATAAAAAGTCGGTTGGTCGGGTAATATCGGCCAATCGACTTTTCATCATATTAGAAACTATATCCGATCCAATTAAACATGGGTCGGTTAAAATTATCGGCCCGACCAGAGCGGGTCGGTTGGTGAGCAATTATCGGCCACAAAATTCGGGCCGATAGTGGGTCGGTTGTCGGGTAAAACCGATCCATGAACAACCCTAGCAAGTAGCAACCTTATTCATGTTGAGCAACAATAAATTTGAATTCAGCTCATAAATAACCTGGATTGAATAAAATTAACTCAAACTCGATCCAACTCACTAATATTTAGACTCGACTCAACTATAATCGGGTTAACCATCTAACTTCGTTTAATCCCGACTCACTTGCCGCTCCTACGTGCAAGCACACACTTGTCGCAAAGAGGCATCTATTCTAAATAGATGCTAATACAATATAGGTGAATTGCATTGAATAATTGAAATTAATGGAGATACACTCCCTTGATAATAATTCAAAACTTACTAATAATCGTAGTGGGTTAATGCCTAATATACCCACTAATTAATCCATGCATTATCAACCAAGATACACATTTATTACATTATTAGATCCAAAATCATTCTCAAATTCAGACCTTAATCTTATCTAAACCAAATCAACCACCGTTTTAAGGTTAAAAAAACAATTAACACATTTTCTTGGTTGGTAAATGCAGCAAATACATAAAAAAACCGAATCTTTAATCTTTGTCCCTTTGAACATGTCTTAAAACAATCATAAAATACATAAAAAGTAATTCCTTTCCCCACTCTCTCTCCTCTCTCTCTCTCTCTCTCTCTCTCTCTCTCTCTCATCATTATATTCATTAGGCAACCAAACAACAAGAAACCACAACAAGAACTCAACTTATGGAAGTGCGGAATAGAAAAAATTCCCAAAAGGGAAGAGCATAATCAAAGTTCTTCTTTTTTCCTTTTTTATTTTTATTTAATAAATATTAAATAAATAAATAAATTACTATTTATTTTACCACTTTTAATCTGCAAAAATAACTTATCATTCCGTGAAAAATACTCTTCATTTAATTTCGATGCGTTTTCCCTCGTGAAATCCACCGCTCTCTCTCTCTCTCTCTCTAGATTCCCCTTTTTCTCTTCTTCCTTGGGATCCCTTTTTTCCCAATTCAAAATTAAATAAAATTATTTATTTATTAATTTCATTTTTTTTTTAATTTAATCAACGAGGTTTTCCTTCGAATCGACCAGTGTGTCCCAAAAGATTGAATCTTGGACACAACCCACATTCCAAATCGCACAAAATTAATGCCTCGTGTGTGAAAATCAGTTGTTTCGCATTACAAAATTTGGGTTTTAAATTACACGGGTGGAAATTGTACCGAGATGAATTGTTTGCGATGGAAGTGAGGCGCAGATGGAGGCGGTTAGATCAGAGAGAAATGCGGAAAAGTTGCCGCCATTGCAGGGGCCAGTGATGCAGAGGACGAGGTTACAAGTGTGGTTTATTAGGGTTTGTTCTAGCATACTAATATGGACGTGTCTGGTTCAACTGGCGGCAGTTGGGGAGCTATGGCACCCCCGTGTGCTCACCGGCTATACGGGCCCCATGAAAATGTCGGCCCATCGAGAGGGAGCATTGCCTCCTTCGCCTCCGCCTTTCGTTCCGGCTAGTGAGTTACCGATTTTACATGTAATTCATGTTGTAATGGAGCTTTTTTTTTTTTTTGAGATGGTACTTTGTTGATTAGTTTATGATGTTTTTTGGTGTGGTAAGAATTTATTATGATTGAGAAAATTACAATGTAGATTGGTGTGGGGCGATTAGTCGATTACCGTAACTAGAAAATTGATTGAATTTTTATTGATGTTCGAAAGAATTCAGTAGGATAATTACTGCAATTGATTTGCAGTGATTCCATGGCAATGTGCAAAAGACGGGGGGAAAGAAAAGATCTAGGGTTCTTAGTAGAAGTGAAACGGGAAAAAAGAATATCATATTTCCGTCTTGTATATGAAATAAAATATATGTTTTCCCGTTAGACGATAGAAAATGAATATTGAAAACATTGTCGAAGTTTCTTTCTTACTATCGTTTATCTTGTTGAACTGCCTTTATCTTCTTCAATGAACATACGGTGTTATTTATCAATCTTGGAGTTTGCCATCTTTATGGTCTTTCTTGTGAGTGACTAGTGAGTAGAAGCATTACGATATCGTCGTCGAACTTTTACAATGTGACGATGAAATGTTATCTAAATATAACTGCGTTAGTGACCGTACAATTCATAATTATTTGCAGGGAGGTACACGAGCAATGGGTTTCTCAGAGTCACTTGCAACGGTGGCTTGAATCAAATGCGCTCTGCGGTCCAAATTAGTATTCTTTTCCTTCTTTTTATCTAACTAATTATGTTTAACTCTGTCCAATATTCGACTTTCGGAAATTTCAGATTTGTGACATGGTGACAATTGCTCGACTTTTAAATCTTACACTGATTGTCCCCGAACTTGACAAGACGTCTTTTTGGGCTGATCCTAGGTATCTATCACGAATGGAGTATATTACAAACTACCCTTTTTTTCGTTTATGCATATTCAAATTGACCAGTTTAATTGCAGCAATTTTGAGGATATTTTCGATGTGGGACATTTCATCAATTCATTAAGAGACGAAGTCCGAATTATAAAGAGATTGCCGAAGAGATTAGGCCTTCGATACGGATATCAACCACTTGCAATGCCACCTGTTAGCTGGTCCAACGAGCAATACTATTTGCAACAGGTTTTTTATTAACCCTTTTCGATTAATCGGAGTTAGTCGGATATTTGTTTAGATTTTATTCAAACTTTGCAGATTCTGCCTCTATTTGATAAGCACAAGGTGATACATTTCAACCGAACGGATTCACGATTGGCTAACAATGGGATTTCTCTTGAGCTTCAGAAGCTTAGATGCCGTGTCAATTTTCAGGCACTGAAATTTACACCTGAAATCGAGGCACTAGGAAATAAGTTAATCGACATTATTAAACAAAAGGGACCTTATTTAGCGTTGCATTTGAGATACGAAATGGACATGTTGGCCTTTTCGGGCTGCACCCATGGCTGCACCGAAGTGGAAGCTGAGGAGCTTAAACAATTGAGGTAATTAATTTCTTGAAGAAAGTCATTGTCGAGTGGTTTTATTCATGTAATAGCAATTGGCCATAGTGTGAGATAATGCACTTATTTGTGTGATCGATTTAATTGACTGGGCAGTTGTACGGCAGGTTTACAGTCGATCGATTTAAATTTTCGAAAGCATAGTTTGTGAAAAAAAATATTCTTAAGTTTCTATGTATTCTGGTATAGTTCTCGATTCTGAAATGCCGAAATACCCTTTATTTTGAAGCATCCACCTTTTTGCAACAATCTTTTATTTTTTATTTTTTATTTGTTTTATCGTTAATGTGGATTTTCGGTTCAGGTATGCATTTCCGTGGTGGAGGGAAAAAGAGATACTATCTGAAGAGAAGAGATCTAACGGCTTATGTCCTCTTACACCAGAAGAAACTGCTTTGATTTTGCAAGCATTGGGTTTTCACAAAGACACGCAAATCTATATTGCATCCGGTGAGATTTACGGTAATCAGAGAAGACTTGCAGCGCTAAGAGCTGCCTTTCCAAATATCGTAAGTTCGTCCGTATACCGTGCCTTTATTATAATGCTTTCGAACGAGAGACTTACCATATTATTATTGTTTTTTTCTTGTCGTAAAATATTGCCATTGCTTTGAGTTCAGGTGAAAAAGGAAATGCTGCTAGCTCCAGACGATTTGAGGCTGTTCCAGAATCACTCGTCTCAAATGGCAGCGCTCGATTTTATGGTGTCCGTTGCTAGTGATATTTTTGTCCCCACTTATGATGGAAACATGGCAAGGGTTGTCGAAGGTCATCGTAGGTATAATAGTGGTGATACTTTTTTTAATTTTTTTTTTTAATTTCGATACGTACGATGACGATCTGATATTTAATTACAGGAATCTTGGGTTCAAAAAGACATTCCAACTGGACCGAAGAAAGCTCGTCGAATTGTTGGATTTACATCAAAACGGAACTCTTTCACTGGACGAGTTTTCAGTTTCCGTTCGGCTAGCTCACGAGAGAAGAATGGGGCAGCCAGCTCAGCGCAGGGTTATTGCAAACAAGCCCAAAGAAGAAGAATATTTCTATTCAAATCCTCAAGAATGCCTGTGTGAGGGCATTACTTGTGCCGACTCATTTGCCCCTGGAAATAAAACTATATTCAAGTGAAACCCACGACCGGGAATTTATTTGTACCACGGGCCCACGTGTACGGATAGAGCTCCGAACCAAAAGAAGAGAAACTATATGCCACTTCAATAAGCAAAGGCTTGGATTTGGCAGAATAGCAAGATTTCGACTGAGTTTATAATTGCCTAGGTATGTGAATTGTAAAGAAATTGCACGAAAAAACGAGATACGTTGAAAGCTTTTGAGTAATTAAATGCATTGATTCATTTTTTGTTCGTAGGTATTTCTTTCGTTTTTGCTGTTGCACCATTATTAATTGTATCCAATTGTTACCAGTTTCGTTCATCGCAAAGTCGTATTTGCTTCGAAGAACTCTAAACAATAGAACAACGAAAACAGGAAAAAAAAATCTTGAGCTCGCGTCCCCTTTACATTGTTCAACTACATTACAGATATAATATAAATTCTTTAACTACACTTAGTTATCTGTATTACACAGAGGAAGCATTACTGATCTGCAAATCTTCGTCTTTTTCGAATGTTCGTAAATCATAAAGAAGTTTCTAGAAGCTTCTATTTAGGCTCCCAGAAGATGATGTCACCTTGTTCCCCGACCAGACCAAGATCCTTGAGCCGCCTTTCTTGATAATATTCAAGAAAATCCAACTCGGTCTCTCTTTCTTTAAATATTTCATCGATTTGCTGCAAAACCCTTTTCTCCCCTCTTCTTACACCTATCGCCATTTCAAGCCTTGCACTCATATTCCCTTCCTCCTTCAGCTTTTCATCCTGCAAAAAATTCGTTTTCTTGATCTACCGAAACAAAACACACACACTATCGGTATTCTAGGACAACTTTATTTTACCTCTTCAATGGTGGTATGATAGCCAGACAAAGCAGATTCGCACGCCTTACGGATAACTCTACATATAAGTTCCTCGTTGGCTCGACTAATGGGCAGTTCAAGAAATCCCCAAATTTTATTTCTGAAAATCGACTCCAGCAGAAAAGCATCTTGTCCTCCAAGTGCTAGCAGCCGTAAATACAGAAGCATACCCGTTGGAAGTGATTGACCGTATTTAATGTCGAAGTAAGCCGTTTCTCCAAAGCCGTTTGACTCGGCTATGTCCAACTTGTCAGCGTAGAATTCATCGGATTCTGATATTTCTAGTGTCAGAGTGAACGCGTCACGGTCGGAATTCGGTTCGATGAACCCGTAATCGAGTGCCATGTCAGCGTTGCTTTTCTTTAAATCGTATTGGATGAAAACCTGTTCGCCTGCTTTAAGAGATAATGGGCTTCTTAGTTGAAAAACATAGTCCCATGAGAAAAGACCTGCTGCTCCTCTAGCTTCCTGAGCGTGATCTTCGGTAGTAACTTTGGCACTGTGGTTGATCTGTGGGGCATACAACGATGAACGAAAACACAATTGAATGAAATTCGTAGATTAAGTTGCATAAATTAGAATTTTCATGATTATATTTTACGAAAATAGCGTAAAAATTACAGGATTATCGAGGCAAGGGCTAGTCCAACAAATGTAAGTCGGAATCGGAATTGGACGGATAGGGTCGGATTCAACACTTCCGGAAAAATCACATTTTTTTCAGACGTGAAAAACTAAATCCAATTATTTCCAAAAAAAAAAAATCGGAAAAGCAAGAAATTGGAATAAGAAAACTTGTTCAAAATTTTTTGGATCGGAATTGGCGGAATTCGGAAAATTCCGACTTTTAGCAACCTAAAATGTAAAATACATAATAATTTTGATATTGCAAGTCCGATTTCGGGGAGAAAAAATAAAATCGGATTTTCGGATTTCAGAAATCAGAATCTCATTTATATTCTAATTCCAATCCAAACAAAATTGGACTTCAGAATTCGAATTGAAAAATATTGTCCAAAATCGGAAAATTTCGGATAGGGATCGGCAGAAATCGAAATTTTTGTTCCAATTTCCACCCCTAAATGGAACTCATTCTTGATATTGACCGGTTGATTTCCCCTAGCTACAAAATTGAGATTTATTGCAAATAATTTACCAAATCAGCAAAGGGTATAACAACGAGATTCTGATTACGAAGACGTGAAAAAGCCCTCGATCGGAGCATCCCGAACGCCCAAAAGAAGTCGTCCGACGTTATAGTAAACGGGAAAAGCTTCTTGTTCGGAAGTATGATTTCCTCCTGCACTTTGAGAAACTCACTCTGTACATACTCTTTCACTCCCAATGTAGTGCTCAGCAACTGAGTTCCTGCAAAAAGAATACAAGAGTTCCAAATATTCAACATTTCCGATTTACAAACTTAACGAAAATAAACGAACAATGCCGTTTATCTAAAGCTCAAAAATCGCTTCGATTTAAAAACCGGAATCAACGTGCACAGTCAAGATAAAAGATTACCGACCCTGAATTTCTAGAAGCTCCTCTTCTGACCTGCACTGGAGTGGAACACAAAACAACACTTATCAAAAACAAAATTAAAATTAATAAAAAAAAAAAAAAAAAAAAATTTAAGAAGGAAGATTAAATTAAAAAAAGAATGGATTTTGAGGTGAACCCACCAATATATAGTGGAATTAGTGCCCTCTGGAAGAACATCAATATAATATTTCAATTTAGACTCATCCCCTTTAAATTTCTCTCTCAGCAAAAACAAAGCGACAGAAATCCAGGGTTTTAATCCAGAGCAAATGCTCCCGATTTCCGAGGCTGCAACGGCATCTGGATTAATCCAGAACCTCTTCGGCACCTCCAAAACGACGTCGTTTCTGGAAATATCCCTTGTCGCGACAAGCCCTAGCCCCTCCGGCACAAAACCTGGCTTCACCGGAGTTTTCGCGGAGACAACTCCTTCTTCCTTCAGCCATTGCCAGAATCTCTGGACCGTTTGCGGGATATTTTGGTCAATTTCCTTTGAGAGAAGCGCGTTTACAGAGAGTGATCTTTTCTTCAATTGATGGAAAGTTGGTCTCGTCTTCGACAAAGGGAAGTGGCATCTTGTCTGAGAGTTGGTTATAGAAGAGAGAGACGCCATTTTTTATTTTCCTTCTTTACTTTCTGCGCACAGTGCGCACTGAACTGTGTGTGTGTGTTGGTTTTTGACAGTTTGGAGATGAGGTTGATGAAGATGATAAATAAACGGGAAAATTAAAGTTTTCACACCTCAAGTTTTCACTAATTTCACATTTGGCTCCTTATGTTCACAAAAAACACATTTGGTCCTTCATGTTTCAATAATTTAATGCTTTTGGTCATTTCAGTCAATTTTCCGTTATTCTGTCAGTTAAGTCATTGATGGGCACACTCTTCATTTCGTTAGTTTTAACGGAAAATTGGCGGAAAGTGCTAGAAGTATTGAATATTTGAAACAGGAGAGACCAAATGTATTTTTTATGAACACGAGGGACCAAATATAAAATCGGTGCTAACGTGAGGGACAAAAACTGTATTTTTCCTATAAATAAACCTTTTCTTTTTTTTAGAGTTAATTACATATACACCCCCTCTTAAATAGCATATTAGAGAGTGTTCCCTTACATCTTTTGTAATTACTTTTACCTCCCTAATAAAATTTACAATGTTTACATTGGTACCTCTAAAAATTGTAATAATTTTCGATTTTATTCCTACCCCTAAAATATAATTTATATTCTTTACGTTGTGATGGACAAAGGGTGCCCTTTGTAATATATAAACTATAGGAGGTCATTTTTGTAACAACACAAACTATATAATTGGTTATATTATTTTTATCCTACAATTATATAAAGTATATATTTTTGCTTAGTTAATACATTTTAAAAGTAATAAAAATTTAAAAAATATTTGAAATCCACTCTCTTTAAAAAAAAAAAACTATAGAATATTGATCTAACCTGATCTAGTACGTTTCAACAAAGTAAGGTTCAACAAAATTGATTATGCTCAGAGGAGGTGATATATAAGACAATATGGGATCTGAGCTCATTTGTCCGCATCATGATCCGCTTCATCAAACTCGATAAAATCGGCCCAAAATATTGAGATATAATAAGTCCGCAAAATGTAAGGCCCAAAGAATGCAACTCGTTGTCAAATAGATGAGTTGAAGAGCTAACGAGCTACAAGCTAAGAGTACATGGAGAGCTGACGAGCTGAGAGCAGCTGGAGAGCTACGACTAGGGACTAGCTAACGAGTAGAGATAATGAACCAGATGCCGACGATAAGCGGATAGTAATAGAAGAGACAACCGACAACGAGCATAAAGTAATTGATGAAACGAGCACAATATAGCATGTGTCGACCCATGACTTATGTACTAAAATTTGAAAAGAATATCTTGAGGGCGCTGGAATTAACCCAATCAATTGAATTGAGTCAATCCAATGACATATATCCACAAATATATCTACTACAAATAGAGGTTTATATCCCCGAGAAAATGACGATTTCGATGAGATACAACATAATGCATTTATCTCTCCCTCCCACTGTATACACAATGTTATCTTTGAATCTTTGAGCTCTCTGACTTGGGCATTGGAGTCTGAGGTGGAATTAGGATAAAAGCGTAGAAACACGAACTAAATTTTCGAGATTTTGGACATTGTACCAAAAAACAATTTAGGTTCTCAACATATTACAAAAGTAATTTTATATTGCTAATTTTTAATTAAAATAATATATATTATAATCTTATCATATTTCAAGCATGTAAAATAAAAAATCTAATTAATCAAAATGATTCTAATAATGTATTGCACTTAAAATTAAAAAGAAATTACAAGAAAATTTTATAAAATTATATAAATATTAAAAGCGTACATAATCTAAAAAATTAAAATATTTTCAAAAGTAACATTTAAAAATCTTAGAAGATGTGAATTTAATGAATGTAATCAAATTATTGGATACAATATTTTTTATAAAAAAGTAGGAATTTGAAGAGTGAGGCAAAAATAATAATTATACGTCCAACAATATATAGCCCATATGAACTGCTGATGGGCTAGTCCAGCCCATATCACCCGATACCCGACCCAAAAAAATATCAAGAAGACTTCATATGTTTCCTCGTTTAGAAGTGAATTTTCATGGATCGAATTCGTTCGAACTTTTCATAAATATAAACAATTTTGAGCTCGAGCCAAACTCAATTGAACATAAATTTTGTTGATCGAGATCAAGTTGAATCAAAAAATCACTCAATATATGTTTAAATTGAAACCCTCAATTTTTTTTTGAACTGAAAAAACTAAACATTCTTTGGTCAAAAACCACTTTCAACAATTCTTGGCACACTGTATATTATTATTATTATTATTATTATTATTATTATTATTATTATTATTATTATTATTATTATTATTATTATTTATATTTTATTCAATATCAGGGAATTTTTTTATGATACCTAACATGACTATGACTTGATCGTTTCAATCCGAAATCTTATCCAATCAACGGTCAGGACCAACTCAGGTTGTATGGGCAAGCAACGTTAAGATACTATGACCAGACACCCACCAACTTGATATTATTAAATAAATAAAATAAAAATAAAAATAAAAAAAAGAAAATAAATAGAAAAATAACCCTAAAAAGTAGGACAAGTAACTTTCCTTCTTTTTTTGACACAAGGACAAATAACTTTAATTTTGGTAATCGAAGGTGGCTGGCTACTGATTATATTTTGTCTGAGGGATCGATTCTACATTTAATATTATTTTTCTTTCTTTTTATGCATTTGCATGAGACCTTCCTTAAAGCAAAGTATTCATATATCTTTTGTTTCTTTTTTATTAATTATTATTATTATTATTATTATTATTATTATTATTATTATTATTATTATTATTATTATTATTATTATTATTATTATTATTATTATTATTATTATTATTATTATTATTATTATTATTATTATTATTATGTTAAAGGTGGTTCTCATTTCTGATCACCAACTACACCCTTTTGATATTTGGCTTTTCAAATGACTAAACCCTAAATGTGTGCATGTGTGTGTTCATCGCAGTATCCTTTATTGTTTTTTTTTTATTATTTACTTTTTATTTGGGCAACGAAGGAACTTTCAGCCATATATACATTATCATCATGGGTAAATTTACATTCTCGTAGAATTAATAGCTTGAAAATTATACGAGAAATGGATCATACTAGATCTCTCAATATATTGTTCGATATTTTTTTTTGTAAAATTATTATTACCAATAATTAAATTCTAGTTATAACTTCGATTGCGATTCAGATACCTTGTACATTAATTATTTTCGAGCTATTACACGAGATGAGAGTGCTTTTTATTACCCAATTAACTCGTGCAAATTAATTCCTATGCAGAAAACAGTTTATGGTATCAAATCGTGAGATTAAAAAAGTAATTAACACCGCTATTTTATTTCCATTAATTATGATGCTCTAAAAATAAATTCATCATCAACTATACATGAACACATAGACATTGGGGAAGCAAGTGTAGGGCCAGAGGGGCCATGCCCCCCTCAATTTTTTTTTACTACTATATATGTATATATAATTTTTACATTTATATTGTGCTCCTATAATTTTTATCAGTTTAGTTTTATATAAAAAGTAAAATTAAGTATTCGTAATTAAAGAAAACATAGATATATAAATACTAAATAACAGTGTACTGAAGCTCATACTCAACTGAAAAAATCCGGCTAAATCATATTATATATTTATTAAGTCCATCTAATTTTTATTAATTAGTTCATCTAAAGTCTGAATTAATACAAAAAAAAGTCATATCTTTTCCTAACTTTTGAATTTGTCAAAAAAATAAATAATAAAATTTCGGCCCAAAATATAAAATTCTGACTTCGCCACGATGAACAAAGACAATGATTACAAAATTAGGTCTACCAAAGGATTGATTGAAGCATGTCGAATTGTCTACTATGGAGAAAATGTGCTCCCTGCCATGTGGAAAATATTGCATGAGAGAAAAAAAAAGTTATAAATAATTCCAAATATTATTGAAGATTCATCAGTTATATATTAATTGAATTTTCAAGGTTTTGAAAAATATTTCAATAATTGGTATGAAAAATAATTAATTAATAAGAATATAATAATTAGTATTTTTTTGAAAAAAAGGGGTTGGTGTGAGTTGATATGTACTGTTGTAGTCCACTGAATTTCTCTATTATTGTCCTTTTGCATGGATCAACAGCAGGTCTCGTGCTTTGTGCTTATCTTGCTATAATTTTTTACATTTATCAAATTAAAAAAATGATTTTTACATACTTGTGATTCTTGATAATTATTTATATTTAATTTTTAGATATACAATATAGCAGAGTATTTTAACAATATATAAAAAAGTTACACATATATTAATTTAATAATTACTTTTCTAGAAATATTGCATGCTTTTCAAAGCTCTAAATGGAATGTGGAAATTAACTAGGATTGAAATCACTTTACTTTATTTTCTTTTGTATTAAATAATCATAAAAAAATTCAAACACCTGGAAAAATTTGTCAACATTTGGCGGTAACTAAGAAAAAATAAGTAATACTATTAATCTTTTGAAAGTACGTAGTTAAATGTGATTAAGGGTTAATTAACTATAGATGGCATTAACAATTAAACTACCTACTTTCGAGAAGACAAAAAAAAAAAAAACGACTCGTGTCTGAAATGGTAATTAACGTACTTTTCAACGTCCATCATTTAGTTGACCTGTGTTGTCAAAATTTCATAACTAATTTAATTTTCTTAATTACTATTTAATTATATTTTAATTATTAAAAACTAACAATCTTGACCACTGATTAAGACCTAATCAACAGTCGAGAAACGAAGTTTCCAACGTATTTTTTATATTGTTAAACCAGGTCCGTAAATAGTGGTTTGTTGAATAATCTTCAAATAAAAAATAATTAATTAAATCTTTAAAGGTACGGAATAGTCTGATGCCCCGGAAAAAGGTGGCAAATTTCAAAAATAAAAATTAAAATAAAATAGAAAATAATTGATGCCTGAATTAAAAAAACAAAAAACATTTGTTTTGATATGATCAGTAGATAATCTTTTTTTAAAAGTTGAAGATCGGACCCTATGGTCAAATTGTGACTGCTTTGAGAATACCTATGCTTTTTTATTTTATTTTATTTATTTAATCTTGTCCTTTTTCCTTTGTCTTTTATTTATTTATTTAGTTTTTACTAATATATATACAGACAATGCATATGCAAATCTGGAAACTTAAACACCATAAGTCTCAACATTGCATCACTTAGAATATAATGTTACCAAACTTATTACATTATAATTAAGAAAAAAATTCTCAATCTCTTTCAAATCCATTATTTTATAATTATTTGTTATTATTATTTATTATTTATTATTAATTTTTAAAAAAGAAAACAAATGAAGTTCGGAAAAGAATTTGCAGCGCAGATGGTGCCGGAATGGCACGAAGCGTACATGGACTACGCATACATGAAAACCCTACTAAAAGAGATCCACCTCTTCAAGCAGAAGAACCGGCCGGCGGCCGGCGGCGCCGCCCGGTCCGGCAGCCTCCGGCGGAGCCTCACCCTCTACAGAGCCTTCAGCGGGCTCCTGATTCACAGGACGACTTCTCCGAACAACACCAACAAGCAGTTGCACGACGTTGAGAACCAGGTGATTCAGGTGAACAACGTCCGTACGGACGGCGGCGACGAGCGGTCGGAGACGATGTTTCTGATGACCGGAGACGACGGTGGGGAGTACGAGCTGGTTTACTTCAGGAGATTGGATGATGAGTTCAACAAAGTGGTGAAGTTCTATAAGCTGAAAGTTGATGAGGTGATGCAAGAAGCTGCTGTTCTGAATAAGCAGATGGAAGCGCTTATAGCTTTTCGGATTAAAGTCGATAATCCGAAAGGGTGGGCGAATAGCGTTGAGGAAACTTCTAAGCTTGCTTCGGAGGTTGAAGCTTCTGTAGCTGCATTATACGCCACCACTCCTTCTCTAGCCATTAGAGCAAGCAGTAAGTATATCTATATATATACTGATAAGTTGTTTTACGAGTTGATACAATTTATGCATATTCGTTAACAACCGATAAGCTGTTACATATATATGTGATAAGTTGTTTTAAGAGTGTGATAAACTATTATGTCTTATTTTTAAAATTAATTTTGAAAGTATTTGGATAATAAGCTTATAAGTTATTTTTCTGTTTTTAAGATCTTCAATTAAAAGATTAAATTAAAAGATGGGAGCATGTGTATATCTTTTTTCAAATCTTTTAAGCTATTCAACTCTTTTTTTTTTTTTTTAACTTTTTTTACCGAACAGTTTGGAAGAGCTTATGTGCTCTTAAACGTCCTATAAGTTTTTCTGAACACACTTGTAAACTTAGCCAAACACCCCGTTATTCTCGGAAAGAGAGTACAATATTTAGACTTATTTGCACACACACACACACATATACAATTTAGCCAAATGGAGGGAGTAGAGTAACTTCTTATGCATATTTTTAATTTGTGTCAATTTTATGAAACTTATGTATATATTGGTGCAGGAAGAGTTGATCACATGGACGCAATAGACGAAGACCATTCGATCCATCAAGTGGCGAAGCCATCGTCCGACGAATCATCGTCGGGCGATGATGATCATAATAAATTCAATAACGGAATGGAGATGAAACCCGTGAATAATAATAATAAATCGGAGATTCAAGAATTTAAGATGGATGAAACGAGGTCTTCGATGATGAGGCCCGCGCCACTAGAGATACTTCAACGCGTGAGATTTAACCCGGGCCAGGAAACTCCTCGATCCACCATTAAAGGATTTCTCAAACTTCCTAACAAAACAGACCTTAAGTTCAGCAAGGAGAATTTCAAGAAAGCTGAAGAACAGCTCAAAAAGGCTTTCGTCGAGTTTTATCAGAAGCTCAGGCTTCTCAAAAGCTACAGGTGTGTGTGTGTGCTTTAATCTGTACATAGATAATAATTAATGTTATTTAGTTTCATCGAAGTTACGTTTAATATACCCTCTTTAGTATATTGTTTAAATTTTTTCAATGATTTTTTATTTTTTTTTACAGTTTCCTCAATACGATGGCATTTTCGAAAATCATGAAGAAATACGATAAGGTATAAATATCGGCTCAGACTTATTATATATCTCTTCAAATCTTACATTATTTATCATAGACGACATGAATATCGTATATATGTTTCGTTCCAGATCGCGTCAAGAAGTGCGTCGAAATCTTACATGAAAATGGTTGATAATTCCTACCTCGGCAGCTCTGAAGAGGTGAGATTTGCATGCACTCAACAATTTTATTAATGGTAGCTGTTGTTCATCATAAATAACAATTTAAAAAAAAAATATCGATATAATTTTTATTCGGTCTTTGCTTATTATATAGGTGAGCAAAGTGATGGAAAGGGTAGAAAGTACATTCATTAAGCATTTCTCGAATGCAAATCGGAGTAAAGGGATGAATATCTTAAGGCCGAAAAAGAGAAAGGAAAGGCATCGAATAACATTCTCCGCCGGTAAATAAATATTATATTAAATTTGATAATGTTGATTGAATTGGTTAGTTAAGATTACAACACTGCTGATAATAATTTAATATGCTCATAATTAATTTTGCAGGATTTCTTGTTGGCTGCACAGTTTCTCTAATATTCGCCCTAATTCTTATAATACGCGCACGTCATATTCTCGAAGCGGACCACGAAGAAGGGAGAGTACTCTACATGGAAACCATGTTTCCTCTTTACAGGTTAATTAAGTTCTTGAATATTATATTCAAAAAAAAAACTTAATTATTATTACTAGATGTAAGTGAATTTTGAATAATCTATGACAGTTTGTTCGGGTTCATTGTACTGCACATGGCGATGTACGGGGCGAACATATTCTTCTGGAGGAAATACAGAGTGAATTACGCGTTTATATTCGGTTTTAAAGAAGGGACGGAATTGGGATATAGAGAAGTTTTGTTAATAGGTTTCAGTATAAGTGTTCTTGCATTAGCCGGTGTACTTGCTAATTTAGACATGGAAATGGATCCCGTTACTAAAGACTATAAAGCCGTTACAGAACTGCTTCCACTCGGATTAGTAATGGTAAGAACTCGACGGATATTATGAAATCTCGTTAATTAATTAATTAATTAATATATATTTAGCATGATCTCCAATTATTAATTAATCAAATTCGACGTTTTTGTTTGGCAGCTCGTGGTTGTGATTTTGCTCTGCCCTTTAAACATTGTGTACCGTTCGAGTCGGAAGTTTCTGCTCGTATGTCTATTTCATTGCCTCTTAGCTCCTCTCTATAAGGTAAATTAATTAAAACTATAAATAAATTTTTATTGATAAATTTAGGAATTTTAGGAATATAAACTAATATATGTAATTGAACTCAATACAGGTTACACTACCAGACTTCTTCTTAGCAGATCAGCTTACAAGCCAGGTATAAATTAATATAATCTTGGTCTACAAAATTCAGTTTTTAATTTCTTAATTAGTTTATTATATATTGTAAAAAATTGCGAAAAAATGTAATTAATTAATTAATATTATTGATGTATGTATTAATTAACTCAGGTTCAAGCTCTGAGGAGTCTAGAATTCTATGTATGCTACTATGGATGGGGAGACTACAAAAAAAGGCAAAACAATTGCAAAACGAGCGACGTTTTCAACACTTTCTCTTTCATTATAGCTGCTACACCGTACTTGTGGCGCCTCCTCCAGGTTCGTAAAAACTCAAACTTTTAACAAAAAAATAAAAATAATAATAATAAAAATACAGCATGCATGATGACGAATGTAGTTAATTTATTTTATTTGTTTTTTTTCTTATAAATAGTGCCTAAGGAGGCTGTACGACGAAAAGGATGCGATGCAAGGGTACAACGGTCTGAAATATTTCTCGACTATAGTGGCAGTTAGCACAAGAACAGCGTACACGTTGAACAAAGGAATTGGTTGGAAAATAGTTGCATGGATAGCATCGGTTGTCGCGGCAGTTACGAGCACGTATTGGGATATTGTTATCGACTGGGGTTTTTTCCAGAGAAACTCTAAGAACAAATGGCTGAGAGATAAATTACTCATCTCTAACAAAAGTGTTTACTACGGAGCTATTGTAAGCTTTTTAATTGAGAAAATACACAATTATATTTATATATATGTATATATGTACAGATTTTTCTAGAGATATAATTGTTTTGATAGTGATTTTATTATTATTAATGACAGGTACTGAATGTATTATTGAGATTAGCATGGATGCAGACTGTGATGAATATTACGATTTTTTCGTTGCACAGACAGACGATGGTTGCCCTCGTGGCTTCTCTGGAGATTATTCGTCGTGGTGTATGGAATTTTTTCAGGTACTTTTATTCATAATATATATATATATATATACATATACATATTATATATGTATATATATATACTTATAAGTTGTGTTTTTTTTTATGGATATGATGCAGGCTGGAGAATGAGCATCTAAACAATGTCGGAAAATACCGGGCTTTTAAATCAGTGCCGTTACCGTTTAATTATGATGAAGATGAAGACAAAGATGAGTAGTAGAGAAATATTAAAGAGGGGAAAATCAATAAAATACTTATATATATTGTAGTCACATTCTTTGATTGATTGATTATTCAGTTATTACTAATATGTAACCTGTGAATAATCAATGATCACATGTAATAAACTTGTTTCTGTTAATCCATCCATACACAAATTCTTGATCCACAAAATAGAGCTTGGAATGTAATGCTTGATTGAAAAGATTCTGAGTATTGTAGGAAAAAGATTCCAAATTTGTGATTGTTCCTCTTGCTTCTTAGTTCTTTTTTCAGTTCAATTGTTCGAAAGCACACTAATTTTCAAAGACTTGCAGGATGTAATTTTAGCCATATAGTGTTGGGGTTTTTTAATAAAAAATAAATATTTTATTAATTATTTTCTTTGATCAGTTTATGAGGTCATTTAGAGTGATTTTTTGAAACTTTCAAAACCTTATATTGCCTCACGAAAATCCCATATTTTGTTTTTTTCTATATTAAATAGAGGTTTTATGGTGACTATATTTTCTACTATATAAAGAAGGTTTCGTGGCTTTGCAAATTATATAAGAGAAGATTCAAAAAAAAAAATAAAAAAAAATCTTCTATGAACTATATAGAAAATATGTTGAGCTCTTGTTGCGTGTCGGGTTTAAGCTTCTACTTCACTTAAATGTGCAGTTTTGTTGAAGTTACAGCGGAGAGATAGGCTGGGCTGTTGTATCCCACATGGACACGATCGAAACCTTTATGCACCTCATTTGAGAAGGGTCGTGAAATTCGTCTTAAGAGAGCGACCTAATCCGGGCCTCACCTTGCCTATCTTCATATTATTATGTATATTGTTGCAGCTAATTATCAACTATGAAAAGAGAGAGCAAATAGAGTTCGAACTTCAACCCACAAATTTCGTGATCGATCGTCAAAGTGCAGCTGAAGTTCCAACAATTTAAGACGAATTTTTGATCCCATGAAGATGAGCCTTGACGATGATCAAAAATAGGCGACATTTTCAGCCCTCGATATGAAAAAAGGGAGATAATACGTTTCATTTGATATTTTGTTTTTTAGTGGACAAAAAAAAATTAATGATCTTATTGTTGTTGTAGGTGATTTTTCGTGTAATTCACGAGTTAGTACTTTGAGGCCAGTTTCGAACTTGATTCTGTCCGAATTTGAGAATGTGTAAAACACAAAAACTGCAGGACTTTGAACGAGAACTGTCCGAAACATCTTGAATCACTGAAATCGTACATTAAACGAGAACTGCCACTTGTGCGGCTTTTTTGATGAATCGACAACATTTGAGGTACCGAAAAAGTTGGAATTATCAGACCTGGTATGTTTTTATTTTACACCGACTAATTATGATAATTTTGCATGTTTATTTGTGTTGATGATTATGCCAAAATTTGATAGTTGCTACTTGATAACAATTAAGAACAAAATTAAAAGTCTTTTTTTTTTTTTTGTGACTATTTCAATAACTACAACAGTAGAAAAATAAGTGAAGGTGTTGTGCATTTGCATTTGAGCTTTAACATTCTGACAACTGATAGTTTGGACTTGTATTGTATGCTGTAAATTGAAAGAATGTCAGCATCCCTAGTCAACTGTATTCAAATTGGTAATTATAATTCATAATCCTTCAGTTATAGTAACTTTTAAAGAATTTTGATTTTAAACTGCCCATATTTGTTAACAAGAAAAGAAAAATGTTTTGATGTATGATTTAATTCTCCATTGTTTCTTAAATGAAAAATTGAGTAATTGCTGAAAAAATAATTTGCGAGTTGTGTTCATATGATGATTAATGGTTTTTTTTTTTTTTTTTCTTTTTTGAAACGTATAAGATAATCACAATTTGCTGAGATTAAATTGGGTGAGTCAAAATCATGTTGTGGTAAAATAAAGTTGAGTTAATGCAATTGAATTTATGTGGATCAAAAAAATATTATTTGTTTATGTGTTTAAATAAGGTTTAGTCGTGAGCTATATATGATTATAATAGATCACATTTTTTATTAGATTATGAAATAGTAATTTTCATAAGAAAGCTCCAGATTATAATTGCTATATATTATGGTAATTGAAATCAGTGGTCAATCCAGAATTTTTGTCAAGGTGTTCGGAATTGAATGTAAAAAAAAATATAAATAACATTTAATAAAAATGGTGAACCAAAAGTTTAGAGGGGACAGCGCCCCACAATTTTTTTTTTTCTTGATAGTATACACGTAAGACAATACAAATATATAAACAAAATTAAAACTAGTAAAATTGTTTGCAAATTTTATAAGAATTTTGGAAAGATTTGGAAACAAAATGGTAAAAATACAAAATGAATGGTTGAAGTTTGCATTTTTCATTACAATCCTTGTATTTTTTTTAATTAGGCAAAAATAAAATTAGAAAATGATAAATAGTGAACAGTGGTCAAACCCTGAACATGGTGATGTGCAAATTTTACTTACTACCACTTGAGCTACAACAAAGCTGCAGAATAATTTCACATTTAGTTTTATATATTTTAAGTAAATATGTATATATATAAATTCCAAAATCAACGTTGTGCAGCTGCATGCTCTATGAATTTTCAATTTGGAGAATAATTTTGCGTAATAATAATGTGAAATAAATAATTGATCGTTGTCAGAGTGTATTCAAGAAAGGTTGGTTTGTGCAATAAAATCATTTAAGATGATGGAGCTGCAATTTATTTAGGTGGGTGAAGTAAAGAAGGGACCACTCAAAATACGAAACAAAGAACCATTCAACGGAGAGAGAGAGAGAGAGAGAGAGAGAGAGAGAGAGAGAGAGGTTTTATGGTCAAAGTGTCACTGCGTTGAAAATACCGAAGTTGTCTTTTTTTCCCTGGTTTGTTTTTTTTTTTTTTTTATCTGTTTACTTGATCTCCATATTAAACATTGCATCACTCAGAATTATTTATAATTTCAAAAAGAAAAAAAAAAAAGACGAAGAAAAGAAAATGAAATTCGGCAAAGAATTTGCAGCGCAAATGGTGCCGGAATGGCAGGAAGCTTACATGGACTACTCCTTCTTGAAAACACTACTCAAAGAGTTCCATCTCTTCAAGCAGAAAAACCGGCCGCCGCCCCCCGCCGCCCGGTCCACCAGCCTCGGCCGAAGCCTCACCCTCTACAGAGCCTTCAGCGGCCTCACGGCGGCTGCATCAAGCAACAACAAGCACTTGTCCGACATAGAAAATCACGTGATTCAGGTGAACAGCGTCCGTACTGACGGCGGCGACGAGCGGTCGGAGACGATGTTTCTGATGAGCGGAGACGATGGAGGGGAGTACGAGCTGGTTTACTTCAGGAGATTGGATGAAGAGTTCAACAAAGTGGTGAAGTTCTATAAGCTGAAAGTTGATGAGGTGATGAAAGAAGCTGCTGTTCTGAATAAGCAGATGGAAGCGCTTATAGCTTTTCGGATTAAAGTCGATAATCCGAAAGGATGGGCTAATAGTGTTGAGGAAACTTCTAAGCTTGCTTCGGATGTTGAAGCTTCCACAGCTGCTTTATACGCCACCACTCCTTCTGCAGCCATTAGAGCAAGCAGTAAGTACATATATATATATACTCTGTTTCAAATGAATTCTTTTGTGTTTGATGTTATCTGTTACTTTAGAAAATCAATTTTTTTTTTCAAAGGACAATTTGTTATGAAATGGAGGGATTAAATTCTTGTTTATATTTTTTGTGTAAATTTGATGAAGCTTATATATATATATAAATATATGTATGTATGTAATTGGTGCAGGAAGAATTCACATGGATGCAATAGACGAAGAGAACTTGATCCATCAATCGGTGAAGTCATCATCATCGGGCGATGATGATACATTCAATGATGGAATGGAAATGAAACATGTGGATAATAAAAATCCGGAGATTCAAGAATATAATATGAACGATCAAACGAGGTCTAGTTCAGCTACAACGAGACCTGCGCCACTAGAGATACTTCAGCGCGTGAGGTTTAACACGACCCAAGAAACTCCTCGATCCACCATTAAAGGATTTCTCAAACTTCCTAACCAAACAGACCTTAAGTTCAGCAAGGAGAATTTCAAGAAAGCTGAAACACAGCTTAAGAAGGCTTTCGTCGAGTTTTATCAGAAGCTCAGACTTCTCAAAAGCTACAGGTAATAATGAATATTGGTAACGTTTATTTCATCAACATTACATTTAATCCTCTTTATAATAGTATTGCTATTTTTTGTCAATGATTTTCTTTTTTTTTTTTTTTTTTTTCGTTTTTTTACAGTTTCCTCAATTCTATGGCATTCTCGAAAATCATGAAGAAATATGACAAGGTATATATATGTATATATCTCTTTTCAATTAGTCTTATATCAATAACATAAATATCAAATGTTTCGTTTCCAGATTGCGTCAAGAACGGCGTCGAAATCTTACATGAAAATGGTTGATAATTCCTACCTCGGCAGCTCTGAAGAGGTGAGATTTACATGCAACGATTTTATTGTAACGGTAATCTCATATAACAATTTTATCAAAATAAATATATAATGTTTATTTGTGTTGTTGAATATAGGTGAGCAAAGTGATGGAAAGGGTCGAAAGTACATTCATCAAGCATTTCTCGAACGCAAATCGGAGTAAAGGGATGAATATCTTAAGGCCGAAGAAGAGAAAGGAAAGTCACAAAATCACATTCTCTGCCGGTAAAAAAAAAAAAACATATTGATTGAATAATTTGTTAACATTAAACAACTCAGTGAGTAATATTAATACGAGATTAATTAAATAATTTTGCAGGATTTCTTGTTGGCTGCACAGTTTCTCTTATATTAGGCCTAATTCTTATAATACGAGCACGTCATATTCTAGAAGCGGACCATGACGATGGGAGAGTACTCTACATGGACACAATGTTTCCTCTTTACAGGTTAATTAAGTTCTTCAATATATAATATTTAAAAAAGAAAACTTAGTTATTTAAGTGAATTTGAATAATCTGTGACAGTTTGTTCGGGTTCATTGTACTACACGTGGCGATGTACGGGGCAAACATATTCTTCTGGAGGAATACAGAGTGATTACGCATTCATATTCGTTTA